CAAATAACTCGTAAACTATCGGTGCTAGCGACAAATTTTTATATGGAAATTGTAGATCTCGTCGTCCTCTACAAGAAAGGTCCTATGCAATTTTCTCGTAGATTCAACGGTTTGGGAGTTATTGGCCGAAAACGAAATTTTTTTCCAAAAGTTCGCCGTTTCGACGCTGAGATGGTCAAATTTTGTCAACATCAATAAAATGCCAAATAATCATACGTAACTCGTTAAATATCGAAATTAGAAGAAGAATGCACTATTTTTAATTATAGGAAATGCGTTTTTCTAAGGTACATAAACTTTTGGGATTGACTGTGTAGCCAATACATCCTTAATCACCTGTCCATTTACTACTATTATTCCTCTGTGTAAAACTGCGATTAGACCAAAAGAATGTTCGTTCGCCAAATTCAAGCGGGATAAACGTTCTCCGGCAAATTGTCAGTTGTCAAAAATGTCTCGAAAAGGGGGGGGAACGAGCATATGTTCGTTTGATCTAAATTCACCGTTGTACTTCTTCCAGAGAGAACTATTTCGTCTGGTTAAGAGTAAGTCGAAGGCGAGACTCGTTAAAAGTAAAAAACGAATGATTTTATACATTTTCACGCAGGACACGCGGTCTCTTGTAAAAGATATCTGTCGCGATGTTCGTCGTTGGAAGAACCAAAGGAGCCAATCCTCAAGACGGAGATACCAGGACCTCAATCGCGTACTTTATTTCAAGAGCTCAATGCGATACAAGTACGTTCGACGTCATTCTTTTATCGTTACAAACAGGATTCCACTGGCTCAGTAATAATATTCCGTGTTTGTTACCGCGTTTATCGCCAAGTACATTAGATACGTGTGTATGGGTCAATAACAATTTACTTCGATTTGCATACATTTTAGAGAAATTTATTTCATTACGGGGACCGGGAAAGAAATCCGGTTCCCTTGATACGTCAACGAGTAGTTCGCACTTACTTTTGAAAAACGAAACGCGTTGTGTCTTTGCAGCAAGCCGGTTCTGTGCAATTATTCGCGGATTACGAGAAGTCGGTAGGTAACTATTTGATGGACGCGGATGGGAACGCACTGCTCGACGTTTACATGCAAATTTCGTCGATACCTCTGGGCTACAATCATCCGGCTTTGCTGGAAGCCCTCATCGATCCAGCTAATCACGTAACGAATATTCTTCTTCTGTTTGTCACACAATTTAATGTGAAGTATCTGTTGTTCAAAAATTGATGAAAATTCTCTTACTCGTTTTTGAACAGAAAATTATAGTGAACAGGCCAGCATTGGGTGTCTTTCCGGGAAAAGACTGGCCACAGAAATTGAAACAAATTTTACTACAAAAAAATGTACGTGCAGCATGTAACGAGATATTAGAATATAATCTTTAGACAGAAATTTTTATAACAGCGTTATGCGTCCCTATTTTACAGGTAGCCCCGCCAGGATTAACGAACATCACGATGATGATGTGCGGCTCTTGTTCGAACGAGAATGCGTTCAAGAACATTTTTATCTGGTACGCTGGGAAACAGAGGAAAGGTGCCCCGTTTACGGAAGAGGAAATGGAAAGCTGCGTGATGAATCAGCCCCCTGGTGCGCCCAGATTTTCTATACTTTCATTTAAAGGTAATCGAAGCTTTTCGTTAAACGCGAAACTAATTGCCTCAAAGATTCGTGAGAATAATGATACACTGATAACAGGCTCGTTCCACGGACGAACACTGGGTTCCCTTTCAACGACGCATAGTAAATACATTCATAAGATAGATATACCAGCGTTCGACTGGCCCATTGCACCATTTCCCCTGTACAAATACCCATTGGAAGAGAACGTTTGTGAAAATGAGCAAGAAGACAAGCGATGTTTAGCCGAGGTACGAATAATTACTTTTCTCTTATGCGAGATTTTACTAACGACGGTGATTGATATTATTTTATTGCTAGGTAGAAGAATTGTTCGAGAAGTATAAAAATGAGAAAAAAAATCCGATCGCCGGAGTAATCGTTGAACCGATTCAAGCGGAAGGAGGAGACAACCATGCGTCACCGGAATTCTTTCAAGAATTACAGAGAATAACGAAAAAAGTAATGATTCCAAGGAGAGTGTATGAAATAGAGATTTGTCACGTTTAATTTATTTTCTAGCACGGAGCAGCGTTGTTGCTCGACGAAGTGCAAACGGGCTGCGGCCCTACGGGTAAGATGTGGTGCCACGAATACTTCAATTTAGAATCTCCACCGGACGTAATGACTTTTAGTAAAAAGATGCAAGTGGGGGGCTACTATCACACCGAACCTTTAAAGTATATACCGTAATTTGTGAAATTTGTAATTTGTCGGGATTTTTTTTAATTAAATGTGACTTTCAGGCCGCAGCAATCGTACCGCGTGTTCAATACTTGGCTCGGAGATCCCAGTAAAATAATACTGCTCGAAGCAGTGTTGAAAACGATACAGAAGGAGAAGCTTTTAGACAGAGTTGTGACTGTCGGTGATTACATGCTGAAACAATTGAAATGTTTGGAGAAGGAATTTTCTACACTGATCAACTCTTCTCGGGGACGCGGGACGTTCATCGCGTTCACCTGTTCCTCGACCGAACTGCGGGACGCGTTGATCAAGAAGCTCTTGAAGCAAGGTAACATCCGTTCGTTCTCGTAATCTTTTTTAAAACAATTTCAACGTATTTTATGGGAGCATTTTGTCAATCAGGGATTCAAATCGGTGGCTGTGGGTCTTCGTCTATAAGACTGAGACCAGCCCTGACGTTCACAGAAAAGCATGCGGACGTACTTTTCGACAGGCTTCGATGCGCTTTGAAACAATAAGTTTAAAGAAGATTAACGATCTATCAAATTACGTGCTGGAGCACAATCCTCGTGACTTCCAAAAATCAAGTCTTCCAGAAGAGATTATATATAATTTTTAGTATATTTATATATGTATAAGTAAAGAAATTCGTATGAAACCTATATACACGTATATTAATATCGGTGAAGTATTTTTTATAGCGATCTTAACGCGCCACGTAATACGCAATACTTGACGTATAAATATTATTTATATTTACGTAAAAAATCTGATAATGTCGTAGCATGTTTAGTAACATTTTTCAAAGACACGTCGTCATTAACACTCTGCCACAAACGTTTCGATTTATATATCTGTGTATATACGTACTCGTTTCATATTACGTTTTAATGTAACAAGTACTCCGAAGATAAGTGAAATTTAATATACAATCAATTTGTCTTCCGATAGAATGATTAAAAACAGAGAGATACCTCTTATATATTCGCCGTTCTGATTTCTCCATCCTCTTCATCGATTCGTACGTAGCTTTGATCTTTAATAAATTAATAACTATACATTTATTTTAACATCTTTTTTAAAATATCTCCGAAATGTTCGTACTCCTTCTGATGACTCTTCTGCACCATATAAGCTATCATTTTCATCTGCAACAGAGAATCTCACTTTACGTGTACCGTAAAATCGTATTTGCGTCGACTATATTTTTTTACTTGCCTTTACTTTCTGATCCACGGAACCATGTCGCTGTGTTAAATTCCACAAATTCACAGCCATGTGCGCCAATTGCGGATCGCGTAAGTCCGCTCTGATAACGAAACAATTGAAAAGCTCGAACGCGAGGGCCACTTGCTTCTCAAGCTGATCGGTGGATCCGAGATATTTTAAATGAGCCAGAATCTCTTCGACGATCTTCGAACTCATTTTGTTAACTTCGCTTATAAATTTCTGATCGGATCCGTACAATTTATCGTTCGAATCAACCTGGGCATGAAAGTTTACGATACACAATCGCAGTTTCTATTCATGCTTCTTGTAGTAGTACAGATTTCGTTTAAATTACCTTGTCAACCTGATACGGATAATTCTCTTGAACGATCGTGGATAACAAATCGAGTACACGCAAATATAAATAAGTTTTCATCGACGTATTCTCTTCGAAACATCTTTGAACGGCGTTGAGCAAACCCCTCATTAAATATAAAACACCATGCTCTGGACTGTCCTGTGAATTCGTGTTATTTAATTCACGGAAGAGTCGAGGGAAAACAATTATATTTTTACGTACCGGTACAACTAACAATGTTGATAAAAAGTTTGACAAATACGAAAGTAAATAAGGCTGTGAGCTCTTCTGTCTCCCGTCTATGTCTATCGTTTTCGGCATCTCTGGGACCAAACTCAACGCAGCCTTGAAACACGAGTCAGCTAACAAAACGTCTTTCGGTTAGTTAAATCGATCGTAATTCACAGCGAATCTCGTTGATGTTATTTTACCTTGACCTAAGCATTGATTCAGAAGTGCGACTTGGCCCGAGAGGAGATACAACTGAAGCCGGGTATGCACCAATGTCAACGATGGAATAGTAATGAAACAAAACGCTGCACAAGCACGCACGAACGCTGAAGTTCTTCTCGTGTGATGTCCACGAACGATCTTCCGAGTGTCAACTGATAATCTATTTACGCACTGAAGAACAGACGTTGATCATCGAATATAGTGCACAGTTAAAAACAGATCGATTACCTGGACGAGTTGTATATGGACGCTGTCGAGATTCGGAAAAGCCGCTCTAGCTTCGGCGTAAAAATTCAGCTGCTTCTCGAAATCGCGACCGTAATCAACGCGCTGTACTAAACTGCATATAAGCTGACCGATTTGTCGTTTCTCGTCCTCAACTGTGAGGGCACTGAAACACATTAACACACATATTACAGGAACGTAAAACAGAAGGGGTTGAGGTCTTGTAAAAGAAGAATTACCTAACTGAGTCGTGCATTATTCTAGCAATGAACATAAGAGCATTTATAGTAATCGGATCGGTGATGGGGCCGCTGGTTTGAGCGCTTAAACTTTCTATAAGAGTCTTGCAAACCTCGACTTTAATATTTTCCTTGTGAAACAAGTCTATTAAAGGTAAAAAGTTATCCTGAAAAAGTTTGGTGTCTATAATTTGAAAGGGCAGTTGAAAACGACGACGAGTGTGATTATTAAGTAGTTACCATGGTGAGTAGCGATTCGAAATCTTGTGTGTGGGATATCACTTTCTCGACGATGTTTTGCAACTGCGGATAGAAATGTTCGAAACTTTTGTTCGGGCCGAGTCGATCGATTATCTTCCCAAAGAACGTGTTCAGTTCGTTCACCTGCAATACTGGAACTAAGTTACGAACGAACGCGTTTTCGAACGGAAGCTTTTTCACTTACAGAGAAGTGAAGAGCAGTGAACTGAACCCAGACCTCCGCGCAGTGTATAAATTTGTTCGGATCTTTCACGTGCGTTATGTATTTCCACACCATGTTAAGAATTGGCGGACAGTCTTCTTTAGGCGGTGATTCCTGCATGAGACGTTCGCCTAAGCTTCGATACAAAAGATGCGCCGGGGAATCTAGAAGATGAACGTTCCACGAAATATATTCGAATTTCAAGCAATCGATCGTCGTAATTACCCTCTCCTTCTTCGATAGAACTTATCAGATTGACGAACTCCATCGCACGTACTGCGATGTACGAAGGTTTAAATGCTGTTAAAATGCTGTTCAGTAATATCGAACTAAAAAAGTAGATACATTTGAACGTTTCGCTCGATGATTGGAGTTAGATTTATGGTAAACATATAATTACTTGGTCGGTATATGTTTGCATCGGACTAATATCTGATCTAAAAAACTCTCAGAGCTTGTAGCTACCAATACTTGCAATATCCAATCCAAAGCTGGCGAGTAAAGATTTGTATTTAATAAGCATTGAGTGCGTTCTTCGTTATATATAAAGAGAAAATCGTAAAAGTTTTCTCTTACAAATTGAAAATCAGACGTTTTATTCAAAGCTAATCCCACACGACACAAATAACATCTTGCATACACAGCTATCAACGGATTTCCAATGCCTCTTATCATCCGCGATATGCGCAGCAAAGCTGCATTGAATTCGCTGAAAGTAAAATGGTCCCGACGACTATTAACATCACGTTTATGAAACGAAACTTACGAACGTGCACGTACGACAGTTATAATTTTACCTTGCCGTTAAGAAGCTGTAAGATTTTATTATTGCCATTTCTACATACAGACGAGGAATCAGTTCTCTTATCGATGCTATCTTATAAAACCAATTTCTGCACGTTTCCTTCGCGTTTTCAGGCACCATGTCGGGCGTAAAATTGTCAGGTAAACTCGTGGGTACTTTGCTTCCTGGCCTGAAAATTTAAATAAGTTCCATTTGACCAATTTCTAAAACCAAGACAATTCTGCGATACTAACTTGTAGTATTCAGCTTTGACTTTTAATCTCTCGTAAACGAGCTTTCCAAAAATATCTAAAATATCTGTGATGAGGACAAACTTGCTCGGATAAAAATCCTCAGTGACTGTGTCTCCTAATAGTTTGGCACACTGAAATAATTCCTCATTGATTCACTGCTATTCTTTAAACGCTATACGTAGAAATTATTATAGGTAAAAATGGAAACCTGAATTGCTATTTTAAGCGCTTTGACTCTTTGATCGGAATGCCACGCTGCAACGAGCTCGTTGTTTAATTGTTCGATTTTTGCGGTGTACTGTTGTTGGGACAAATCCATCACCGTCTTGACAGCCCCCTCCTCGAAATCATCTAACTGCTGGAGTCTCGTTTGTACTTTATCAGACACTCTACTGACTGATTGAATTGAAATGACTATAATAAATACACTTGTATAAGCTTATATTTTTACCGGCATTTAGCCAATGAAACGAAGTAAATACCTTTTTCACCGCCTGGGTAAGACTTCTTCACGAAAAAGAACATCTGTACTTTCTTCGATGTTGTGTACTTGTTTAATATCGCGGTACGTTTCGCGGACCACGGTTCTAACAATTCTTCAGCAGTGTCTGTACTTCTTTTACCACTGGTCACCACAGTCGAAGAGTAATCCCACTGTGTTACATTTTAAAAGACACGATATATATTTTGATATATAGCATGAACAAACGTGTAAAATGGAATTTTTAGAACCTCATCTGCAGCCATTTTAGACAGAGGATCTAATTCTTCCTTGGCAAATTGCGAAAGAGGGTCTGAGCCATCAAGGGATGAGTGGTTCAACAACGGGTCTATCAATGAATTCCCAGGTATTGGTGTATGAGTCGGAGTTGGTGTAGCAGTTGAACTGGTACTCGTACTTCTTAAAACATTACGTTTTGTTCCGGTTCGGCCATCGATTAACTGTTACATGAACAAAGTCACATCTGATAGTGGAATCCAAATAATAAAACGTTCTGTCAATTTAATATAGTTACCATAACAGTGACAGGTTTTAAGGGATGTTCTGTCACCTCCTCTAAAGATATATGTCGCACTGCATTATAATTCATAGGTTTCGCGATCCTACAAATTACAGGTGGAATTTTTAGAGAATTCCCAAGCACTAATCAATTGCAATGACAATAGCAGCATTGATTACGTACCAGTTTACTTCCGTCATTTTTTTAAATTCACACAAGCTATTTTAATAGAATCCAGTTGTAGAGTATAAAACGATTGACGGAGATCTTTCACAGACAATATCGACAATACTGTTCAAGTCATCAGATCACAATATACCTAATTAACCTAATACTGACATACTGTGACAGCATTTTGAACGTGATTTTAAACATGCATCACCGAGGAAATGCTAGTAAAGAGTAGCAGTACCCGTGGGCCGTGTAGTATATGAATAGTATCAGATAGTACCTGATATTACCGTGCAATAGAAGAATGTATCTCTGGTAATATACTCTCTGACACCATCTACCTACCAAAACGACCATATATACACAGCCGAAAACAAAGAGTTTCTCTCTGCCGAAAGTTGATAAATGATAGCGTGCATACCATGATGATTGATACTATTAGGTTATCAGAAGTGTCAGTGTCAGAGTCAGTGGTGTGGTACCTACCAATTGAACGGACTCTGGAGATTGTAATAAGGGTATCATTATTTAATCATGTCAATATGTAAACTCCCTCCAGTGGCCTTGCAGGAAAGTCCAGTGAACGAGGTTCAGTCGCGAATCACATGCCGAAAGCGTTATTGACGAAAAAAATCCTACTTTGCAAAGCAAGACACTTGCAGGTTATGCACAGCAGTTTATCTGTCAAACATCTCACAAAATGGAGAAATATATGCATTTATGGAGGGGCGTCGATAAATTGTCGTACACGTTCGATGACAAACCGAACGGCATCATTTGCAAACTGGTCACAATTAAAAATTACATTTTTTTAACGACTACTACTAACAATTTGTACCACGGTGAGGCGTCACTTTTGGAGGACAGTTTACCAATGTTGGTCTTCAAAAGAGCTCCATTCGATGTAATTGACATAGCATCCAGCTCGGATTATTTGTTTATTGTAGATAGCAATGGTCATGTATTGAAAGTAAATCCTCAGGATATGAGTATAGTGGACACAATAATTCTAAGGGAAGAAATTAAATGTTGTAGTCATGGGTACGTCTAAAAGATTGTCCTTATAGTCTTATGTTTACAGATCATTAAAGTAATCAATTTTCTATAGATGTAAACAGGAAAATGAAATTGTCAAGGTAAAATCAATAGCTGTTAGCGATCAAGCGGCATTGTTTGTAACAGAGAGTGGACAACTTTGGGCTAGTGGGAATCAGTCGCAAATTGACATCAACAGTTCAGAGCCTAAGAAAGTGAAATTTTTTGAAGGCAGGACCGTGTCTGCTATAGCGTGCGGCTCGAATTTTAATGTAGTCGCTGCGAGAAAAATAACAAAAACATTAAAAGACGATACTGACAGCGAAAACGAATTGGAGGAAGAGGTGTTTGTTAACTCGTGCCCTCAGTGTCTCAATTCTGTATTGCTGAGTCCTACAAGCATAACTTCCTCGGATACTTGCCCCACTGGTCTACATGGACAACAATTTAGCGATGGGCATTCGACTAATTCTAACAGTGCTTTATCCCTCGTGAGTAAGGAGCAAGACGGTACTTCAGTTCCAGAAGGTAGTAAAAAAGAACAAGTTTCCGATATAATAGAAAATGGAGAACTGTCTTCTAATAATGCCGCAGATTCTGAGAAGGAAGAAAAGAGGAATGTTATTTTTATAAACACAGAAGCTGCGAGACAGTTCTTAACCAGACAGTTATCTTGGGTCTCGTCTTACGGGAATGTTAAGGAAGACATACCTTTGGAGAATGTCTCGAACGTAGCTAATTTAGTATACAAAGGAATAAAGAACGTGGGTGGTAAAGTTGTTACATTGTCCAGGCACATGAGTGGAAGTTCGGATATGAACGAATTCAAAGACGACAGTAACGAGAATCTAGAAATCCTAGGCGAAGAATATGCTAAACCTACGAGTTTAGCATTGAGCCTGCGATCTGAAGATTTCCCTTTATCGTCGAGTACCGGCTCGTCGGAGCATGAATTATCTCAGCAAGGTTTAAATGACAAAATTAACGCATTAATTCGTGCCGGTAATAATATCCTATCTACTGAACTTTGGACGTGGGGCGACGTACAATATGGGCAATTAGGAACAGGAGATATTATTAAACGTCCGCGACCTGTATTAGTGGCGAAACTTAGTAATATTGGGCTCAGAAAAATTTCATGCGGTGAATTCCACATGCTTGCTTTGACGTTAGATGGAAGAGTTTTTGCCTGGGGGAGGAATGATCATAAACAGGTGACGCTGGAGGACACTGGATATCAAAGTGCTCCTCAATTAATCACTACGAAATTGTTTCAAAACGAGAGAGCCAAAGATGTAGCAGCTGGCAGTTTGCATAGTTTAATTATGATGCATCATGGTTTATACTTTATTGGACAGACGAGGTAAACAATTTAAATAAGAAAAATACAAGTATGTAAATCGAAAGTCTGTTTAACAAGTATTATTGTTTTAGTAAAACTGGTGAAATGTTCCATCTCGATACTGAGACAGGTAACGAGCATAGTCCTCAGCAAATCTTTAGTTCTGGAGAATACAGTTGTTGTTCTGTAATAAACGAAGCTGAAATCAACATTTCTGATGACTTGGTGTGCGATCAAACTTTCCTGGAGGAGATGTTGATTATTTATCAAAATTTAATCAAGCCGTTGCAAAAGAAAGGAGGCGCTATGCAAGCATCGAACGTTTATGAAACATTGTGCAGATGTTATACGGAATTATTAAGTTTCAGTGCGTTGAATATTATCAGTTTGTGGGACTACTTTAATCATATTAGTCAAGCATACGAAGTAACGTTCATTGCTAACGTCGAAGAGTACATCCATGTCTACAAGAATTACTTGAACGCAGTCTGCGATGTAATGTCATTGAGTGGATTCGTGTACATTGCAAAGATCATTGAAGTGCCACAAGTAATAACGAATTTATTTATAGATAAATTAAAGAGTAACGAAATTAAAAAAAGTGCTGACGAAATTGTTATTTCTATGGCATTGCAATATCCATTACATAAACTAAACAGGTAATAATGTCAATTCTTCCAAGATTTATTTCTCGAGTAAAAACAATAAATATTTCATTGTAGGCATAAAAAGATGGCTTTAAATTTAATGAAAAATAATGGTACAAAGATGGGTATAGAACAATTGCAAGAGGCTTTAATTAGATGGGAGCAGATATGTGATGACCAAGAGAAGAAGCAGAAGGAAGCAGAGGCGACTAAATTGTTTTGGGAAAATTCCGGGAAACTGGGAGAATCGCTAAAATCGCCAGACAGGAGACTTATTAGGGAATCACGAACTCATCCTCTATCAGTACTTAATTCTGGTAGATTTTCTAGCCATTGGTTTGTTTTGTTAACTGACGTATTTATTCACGTTACTGGCACTTCCCATACAGTCCACCCGCTTCGAACTCTGTGGATAAAACTCTTGCCAGATTCTGAAACAGTACAAGTACGTCAAATGAAATAATAAACATTTATCAATAGATATGACATTTATTAATGCACTGGAAATGTATATTTGTATGCTTTTATTTCAGAACGCTATATCAGTGATAACTCCGGAAGATTCATTTGTATTATACACTCCAACACCTTCGGAGCGCAATGAGTGGCTTCATGCTTTACAGAATGCTATAAAATGTAGCTTATCGAGATTTATAGGAAACATACCTCCAATAGTACGTTCTAGCTCATACTTTTTCACAAAGCACAGTGTTTTCAAAGATGCAAAGTATACTGGTTCGTAAGTTGTTAACATCAATATTTTAGACGATATTATTTATTGACACTTATATTTCGCTGAACAAACGAAAGAGATTCAATATCGAAATTTTGTAGACAAAAAGGAGTAATACTTTTTCTTTGAAATAGGACGATGGTCAGAAGGTAAACCGCACGGTTCAGGGAGATTGGAATGGTCCGACGGTCGTAAATACGTGGGACAGTTTCACAAGGGTGTTGTTCATGGCGCCGGTAAAATGGAAAATCCTTGTCAAGGTGTATATGAAGGGCAGTGGAAGGACGGCCAACAAAATGGATACGGGACAATGAAGTTCGTTTTGAGAACTCGATATCTGAATTATATGCAATATACATACGAAGTGTAAAGTAAAACGTTAATTGTCCTAGGTACAATAACGGAGACTTCTATGAGGGCTATTTCAAAGACGGGTTGCCGCACGGGCATGGAGTTAAAAAAGAGGGTCACTTTATGGCCTCTGTAGCCTCCGTTTATATTGGAGAGTGGGCTGCAGGTGTCAAACAGGGATACGGAATTATGGATGACATTATGACGGGTATTTAGAGTTTACAGTACAATTAAAATTATCACATCTTACGTTTATTGTAATAGATATCTCTATTGCTTCAGGTGAAAAGTATTTGGGATCTTGGAACAACGGTATGAAACACGGTTGTGGGTTAATAGTGACTTTAGACGGGATTTACTATGAAGGTGTTTTTATGCAGGATGTTTTAACGGTAGATAATTACAACATCTATTCTTTATGTGGGCGAATTGAGGAATTAATGTGAATTATTTCGTTGATTCAAGGGTCATGGAGTTATGATATTTGAAGATGGTACTCACTACGAGGGTGAATTTAAATCTGCTGGTATCTTTTATGGGAAGGGCACGTTAACATTTACGAGTGGCGATCGATTAGAAGGGAATATGAATGGTGCTTGGAACGAAGGAGTGAAAGTAATCGCAACATTGCACATGAACAAAACTAGCGGAAATGTACAAGCTAACACAAAGCCAACGTAGGTGATTGATTAATTAACTCCTTGAGCTATTAAATACACCTGTTTTTCTTTTAATCCAGGTCTTTTGGCAAGTTATGCGTGTCACCAGATCAAAAATGGAAAGCTATATTTAGGCACTGCTATCAACAACTGGGTGTACCTGAACCAGGCTCAAAAACTACTAGCATGACTGACAAATCTGCGGAAACGCAACGCGTTTGGCAAAACATTGCTAGCATAATAACTAAGTCCCATCAAAGAGCTTTGCAACGAAGAAAACTTTCATCGACTACTTCTAATAAGGAAAAAACTAACGAAGTGACTGATCAATTAGATAAAATCCTCTCTTTTGGTAACAAGCTCTCCGTTCAAAATTATAGCGAAATTCATAAATATTTAGTTAATGCGTTCGATAGCCCGCACCATCCGTTAGGATCTCTCTTAACAGAAGTGGCTGCTGTCTATACAGCTACTTATGGTGGCGTAAGGGTTCACCCTTTGTTACTCAGTCACGCTGTATCTGAGCTTCATAGCATTACGTCTAGAATATACGAAATAGTTATCTTATTGTTCCCAATATTGCCACGAGGAGGGAAAGAATATGTGTTGGAAGCTGAAAACGAAGAGGAAGAGGTGTACGTATTCTAAATAATTTATAATTATTTAGATGTCGCAGAGAATTATGATTTTTCTAATCTCGATTTGTTGTGGTAGTCAAGTTATAAGCGCTGCAGCAATACTTCATCCAATATTATTGCCTCGGGTGCATTCAGCGCTTTTTGTATTATACGCTTTGCATAATAAAAAAGAGGATGATGCCTATTGGGAACGATTGATGAAATGGAACAAACAACCTGATGTAACGCTAATGGCTTTCTTGGACATCGATCAGTCAGTATTCAGAAGAAATAATAATCATTAATTGTCTTTTCTAACTAATTGCGTTACAGGAAATTTTGGAAGAATGCAAACGTATTAAGTTTAAGTGAAAATGGAATACAGAGCGAACCTCATTTTAGCGAGGCAATAGAAACGTTACAACAATTGAAGACTACCTTCTCGCCGTTAGAAAAATTATTAGTCGTTAGAAACACGTTCGAGCAAATGACGCAAGTAAGTTGATTTTGCATAAAGTATAAACAATTAAAACAAAGCACATCTTGTATATTTATTACATTATACACATATTACTTTTATAATAGGCAGTTCAAAAGCAGTTGGGTACCACGTATCTGTGGACAATGGACGAATTGTTTCCTGTTTTCTGTTTCGTTGTCGTACGCGCCAGTGTGTTGCAACTAGGTAGCGAAATACATTTTATAGAAGATTTCATGGAACCGTACTTGCAAAATGGAGAGCTCGGAATTATGTTCACCACACTTAAGGTAAACAATTTTTGTTGAGGATGTTAGAAAGTTTAATCAGTGTTTTTATACTTTCAGGCCTGTTACTATCAAATATTGCAAGAAAAAATTAACGTCGGTGACTGAATACTAAAAAGGCCATAGCTTTCATAAATATATGGGACGATCCACTAATATGTTATAATAGATTGTTGACAGAACTAATTAATTAAACGGTATGCACAAAGACAGTACCTCAACGGCATTTAATATGCAGTGATGTAATTGCATGAAACGTTAGACATTGTTATATGAATCGTGACTGTTAAAAGTGATCAAGTGTATTGATTATATTTAATACATGTTAAAATTATAATGTTATATATAACATATTAATATATCACGTCTTAATGTAATTAATGAAAATTACATATATACATATATATTGTATACATATCAAATTCTATAAAATATCAGTGTACAGTGTATATAGATTAACGTGAATACGAATTTGTCTCCGTGTAATATGAAAGAAAATTTAACATCAACATTTTATTGATATATTGCTCTTGCACTTTCAAATTTTAGACTTCCAAATATCAATTGTTTGTGTTCAATTTTAACGAGTATTTATTTGCTATTGTTGTAAAATTACGAGTTGGAAGAACAAAATAAAATGATTTTTCGCATTTGTACATACATCATAATATAATATTTTATCTGTTCTTTGTACCATCTAACTGCCAAAGTATTACATAATTAATATATTGTACTGTAACAGTATTTATTTATTCTGTTCAATTATTGCATTGTATGTTGTTTGCATAATCCTAGATATTTAAGCTTGATTTTGTAAGATATTCTTATCAAACCTTGCTGCGGGTGCTGACGAAAAAACATAAAAACGGAAGTGAACATGAAATGGAATAATAACAATTAATTGTATGTTGAATGATGTATTCTTTAATGTGTATTGATGAATAAGAGATTCTTCTTCAATAAAACAAGTGAACAAATTACTTGATACTGGATTTCATCCTGTGTAACTAATTTAAAAGATTCCCGAGTCCAGTTGAGCAACTTACGCATTCATTTTGAGCAAGGCGTCCCGTTCGGTTGAAAAACACAGAAAGATGTATAATTTTNGTGCCGATCACAATTTCTTGAACACGACCGATTTTTAGTTTTAGCTGAACGATTTAACAAAGATAGCAATATTAAGTAAAAATTCATGATTTCACGTATGAAACGTACACACGTTCTATTTATATATATTAGTGTTTTTTATACAAATATTATACAAACTCTTTCCTCGTTGGACCTTGCTATTACACGATTTTCATTTCAAGAACATGCACCGTAGACTTAACGATAAATACCTATACATACATATGTTACTCCTAAGTAGCACTTATTCAGCCTTATAGTGTTCCTACTATTAAAATGCGACATTCGATATTATGCAAAGAAAAACGATATTTAATGTTCGTTGTACGAAGCGATGCACAGCCTCAAGACGGTTTCTAGCCGTTTAAAAAATGTTTTTGGATTCAACAACATTCTTTGCACAGTTTAATTTCCCCTTCATAAATACGATGGTTCAATGTGGGCAGATGAAGGTAAATCAGATTAATCGTTTGTTGCTAATAAATTATTTAAAAAGTAATAATGTCCTGTAAAACTGCGTCTTGATGATCAAAGCCTGTGTAATTGTATATGAAATTCTAGAGTAGATGAGTTAATTAATGTCGTCTTTCTAATAGTACCATCCTGTATTCGGAAGGATGTTCCATTGCCATTTAAATCGTCTTTCTAAATCGGCAATGGAGGATAATCACCGATTTCTATAGAACACTGGATAGTGGATTTTTAATATAATTAAGAGTGTCACTTAGTCTTATACAAATAACTAAATACTTCCCTTGAGAATATTTCGAATATAAATGATGCTGGCATTTTTATTTTACACGATTCTTCACCAAAGAAAGGAAGTAATGGAATTCGCGGCTGAACTTTTCGCTTTGAGAATGATAACGTATAAGTGATAAAATGGTGTCTATATAAAGTGAACCGCAATATGTATTAGTGACATTCGAGTATGTAACGAGCTGATCATTCCAATCCACTATCCAGTGGTACCAGTGATAATAAGAATTTATTTCTTCTCGGCCTTAGAATTAAGCTTCGATAAAAATTCCATAGCCTGATTGTCCCCTTTCCTTTGTTGTATCGCTTGAATTATGTCTGTACCTAAACATACATCATTAAATTAAATCCAATATAAGCATAAATTTTATGAAATTATAAGTAATTTAATACGTACTGTTCTTTGTTGGACGTGAAAGTTTCAGATGAATCTGATCGAGAGATTCAATCGCACGATCTGGTCCCGTTTCAGGAATATCACTGAACGGCAGGAAAGCTTCTGCCATGAATCTGGATCTAAGGAAATCCTTATCTTTCAGCTCGAAGACTACAATCGCATTTTCGGTCGCTCTCTGCTCGCTCGTTAGAGGACTGAAAATTTTACATAATTTTATTACTATAGAGTCTAACTTTTACATATATTTTTATTCTGTGTTAAATATTCGTATCTTAAATTCTTTTGTACTAAGTATTTTGTATTAATTCTATGTTAGATATTTCTTACATGGTGAAAATTTCATCGAACAGGGGATACAAGTTTTCCTTCTGCACGTGCGTTTTAGGTAATTTCATGTCGGCGAACTTTTCTTCCGGAAGCAGCTTCACCTTTACGTAAGAGTCACATGTGCCTGAAAGATAGAAGAAAATGTATTATTGTCTGCCTCTTGCTTTGCGAAAAATACTAAGACCCCATGTGGATTCATGCACAGTGAAAAGTGACTATCAATAATTTCAGCGGATCTCTTCAGTCTACAAGATTTCATAATTTGTACAACATTTAACACAACGAATAAAAAAAATAACGATGCAAAAATTAATTAGAAATCATTCATTGTATATCATCAGGGGAAATTGTCTGATACTTGGGGAAATATTTATTCACTAGCTACGAGTAATAATTTATTTAATATTCATGCAGATCTGAGAGTCGCGAAGGCAAGCAACCGGATATGAGAGATTCTAAATTGGATGAGGAAGAACGTGTATCCTTTTTTTTTACTTTACGTCCACGTTTACATACTTGTCTTCCATTCTTTCAGTCTTTGTTTAGATTTTGTATGAAGCTTGCGCTTGAAAGTAGAGACCTTGCCTACAAAATCGAAAAAAAATGTCATTCTCCTCGCTACGAACCAGCCGCTCGTTTCCGTCGCCCATTACAGCCGAAGAAGCAGCGAAGCATTTTAAAACGGAACTGAAGCTTCCATTTCAATATATTTAATTTTCGCGTTTTAGTTGAAAATAAAATTCTGCCTTTCATCTACCTAGGCGTACAGTTTTTATCAATTAATGAGTAATCGTGACGGAGAAATCGATGTGATTACGTAAATATTTGATGCACAGTTAGGTATTGCATGCGTCATTACTTCGTTTATTGACACGTTTAAATATTTACCAATACCCACGCACGTTTCGACTTTCTACGATTGACGTATAAATTATTTATGCTAGAAACACCCCAGATCACGTGCGGCAACATTCATTTAACCTTCGGCCATATATTTATAAATTTAGAAAAGTAATCACATCCATTGGTCGAAATTACCCACGCGAAAGCTATAAACATTTATTACCAAAGATGTTATTTCTACCATGCATCTTTGCATCGTAATCCTTCAACCTCAGAAATATTTTTTTTGTAAAAAGACTGATCACATTTTGTTTTTACTTACCATTGCTGTCGACCGGCCGCAGTTTCCTCGCGTTCAATATTTGAATGTTCAAAGAAGTATCGACGAACTGCGCTCTGACGGTGATCTGTCCGTATTCCGATTCTTCTAGTTCGTTCTGCTCCTTTATCCGCTCGTGGTGATAACGATGAATCAAATCGGCAGTTTCTAAACCGTGGAGCTCCAAGAGATACTCGATCTTTTCCAAAACTTTCACGTTCGCGACCTCGTCGGCTCCAATATTAAAATAACGAATAAGGGTGTGCAACGTGCGATGAAGATTCGAGTAAAAAGACGGTGGTCTCCTTTTCTGTAAAATAGACGTACACTCTTGTTAACTGAATGACATCGTAAATTTCTCAGTTTAATGAATTCGTTTTATGCACCTCTAGATTAGAATGCACTAATTGGTACAACGTGTCTGATATAATGTCCCAAATTACGAGCAAGATTCTCTCGAAATTATCTTCGTTGAGATTGTCGTGCAGGGTCGACAAATTGCTATCTAAATATTGCAAAAGACGATCCATGGAATTGCTGGTCGTGTCTATCAATTCTGCACCCTCCATAAGAAATCTGAACGCAATTAAATAATGGCATCAGTGTCATCGAATAATAACGAAATAAATAAGATCAACGAGTATTGAATATTATATAGACACCTGTTCATTGCAGGAGCCATTTTATTCGCCACCACTTGCAAGAGTTCTATTATTTTGTTCTTAACAGTATCCGTAGCGTTGATGATAATCAACTGCAGCGTTTGTTGGCACCTGTCAGCGTCTTCTTGAGTCTTCTTCTCTGCTAGAGCGTCTACAATTTCCTGGAACCCTAAATCGTTGGCCAGAGGCTCGATCGATGTTCTGATGTAGTCGATATTGTTGATCGCGAAACACCAAGCTGTGGAAACGTAAAACCTCTTCTCGTACACGCTGCTTTCGGACAGTTGCTCCAGTTCTGTCGTCAATTCTGCCTTCTTGGCCATTTTGTCCGCGTACGCAATTGAACACTTGCATATGTCCTAAAAATAATTATAATATTAGACACAATGAAGATTACTCTTGACCATCTATTTCATCTAAAATTCCATTATATTTTTATATTTAATATATTACATATTATTATTACTATTTACTTTTTATATTTTATATATATTATCTCATTTTTAATCGTTGCATTATTTTATTATTACATATCAGTGGATTTTACAAACCCTTGCAGAAACAAATAAATAATCGAGCCATTACCAGAGAATTTTATTGATTTAAAAAAATGCTTAAGTAACTCACGTCTATAATTTTGGCAACGAAAGTGTAAGAGCCCTCGACGTCGGGCCAGGCGAGCTGCGTCCAGAAGACTTTGATTTGGTAGAATATCGTTAACGTGTCCACAGCGCTCGAGCTGTACTGGACGGTATTGTCGACTGCTTGCAGTGTGTCGAATTCCACGGCTCTGTCGATTCGTTTTAACGCTTTGTACACCGCTATGTCAAGCCAATGTGCCACGCCAGCTTTGAACCATTCGTGGTAATTTTGCACTTTCATATCCTCGAGCTGACCCTCTGCGCAGAGTACTTGACCCAATCTGAAAAAACATGAATACGCTTCGTTACAAAAAAAAACATTTTTTTCTCGCATTCTATTAATTTTATTGTATTATTGTTTTAATTTTCGACTTACGTGGCATATCTCTGCAATGCCAAATACATTTCGAACAATGTCGTTCCCAAATTCAATTCAACGTCTGCGTGTTCGGCTTCGATCCGCTTCAATCTCCCACAGACGTCTTCGGTAATGATCATGCACAGGTCGCTGATCCTCTTCTCATACATTATGTACAGACACCTCGCATACGGGAAATTGATTCGTCTAAAGTGATAATACAGTTGGTACAAGTGATAATACATATATCGAAGGATTTTTAATTTCAACAATTCTCGAAATTCTTACTTTATAAATAATTTATCGTAATTATCGATGGCACTCTGCAAGTCCGCTCTAATTAATTGTATCACTTTGATGTGCAACTTCAGTGCATCCTCATCGGATTCGCTTTCCGGGAAGTTATTATTCAATATATGATCGAACCTAAGGAAGAGATATACATTCTAAATTATGTAATTCACTTTTGTTAAAAAAATTGTTAAAAATATGCTCGAACCATTCGGCACCACCCTGTTCAACCGTGTATTCTAAGGCTTGCATAATGCTTAGCTTCTCGTCAGGGTCTGGAAACCAAGGGTACATCTTTTCTGGGAATAGGTTCACGTCCTCGGGAATGTTAAGGCACGAAACGGACGACAGTATCCTGACAAACGTACAAAATATCCACGTTCAGACACTGAAAGTCGTCCCCAAATTATTTGAAAAATTGTTGATTACCCCAAAATCGCGGAAAGCTGTGTCATAGTGTTTTTGTCACCAGTTGTGAGCCTCCTAATTTTGCGAATGCTGTTTAGACACGAATACAACAGTTTCTTTGTGGCGTCATAGAAGAGTCTGGTTTCGTCCATTGAGAAGAGGCTATTTTCCATAGGCCTCAACAAGTCCGTCGCTAATTTGTTGAACACGATGAAATTTAACGGATGCTCTTGATGAATCCTCGCATATTCTATCCATTGAGCCAGGGTCACGTCTCTCGCTAGCAAACCCCGCTGGGCGCTGTGCTGTAGGAGAAGCACTTCCGCGGGTGCCGACCACCGACCGCACCAACAATACTTCTCTATCTTCTCCGTTTCTATTTCGTACAATAATAACACTCGGATCAAGTGTCTATGTTCTTGAGCAGCTACCTGGGCATTGTGTTCAGCACTGAACGCCAGCCTCAGTTTCACTACACCGCGTCGTTTCGATTTGTTCTTCTTCTCGAGCGAGTACCACATCGTGTGACCTGTGGTGGGAATATCCTGAAATACGAAAAAAAGAAATGAATAAAAAGTTGAAAATTAGTTTTTTATTTTAAGCATACCTTTAAAGGTATCCGGCAACGACCGATAAATTCGTTGTCGTGGCTGCCGGTGGTTGCCGTGACTGCAATTTCTTTCGCCAATTTCACCAGCCCCCGGACGCCCTTCACGTCCTTTACTTTATTCATTTTCTCAGGAACTGTCTCAGCAGCATCGAAATCCCTTTTAAACAACAAAATATGAAAATTCTCTCCGCGAACGTTGTTAAATGAAATATTTATTTATTTACTCTTACCATACTTCCAAAAAAAGTACGTCGTTCTCTGAATCTTCTAAGGGTCTACAAGAAATTTCTATTCTTAATCTTAATTCGATTGAACAAGTGTTTCGTAGGGAGTCACGTTTTCATGCTCTGGCTTGAATAAACAGACGTCTGACTTACAATTCGAAGTGCTCTTCCCATACGGGACTCAGCGTGGCTGTTTTTACTGCTGTGTTGTATCTTCTTGTAGGGGCTGACTCGAGGTAAAGCGCACAGAAAGGATCGCTTTTCCCGTTAGAGTCTTTCGACACGAGTTCCTTCGCTTCGATCACTTCGACGTTTAAGTGCATTTCCGGTGGCTGTACAATATAAAATACTTGATTTCACCATAATTAATAATACAATGGTTCCTTTAACGCTTTTAGTGCCCATGAGTAAATAAAAAATACTGACAACGAGATAAATTGATGTAATTTGATAAGATTTGAGATGTTAAATGTAAAAATATATAAGGATATGTATACATAATTGTGTGTGTATTAATATATAAAATTCTCAAGCCCATTTTGTCTTGCTTACCGTTCAGTTATACCAGATTGCATCGAAATGCTGATGGAAATTCGTGACATGATCTCGAGATTATTTAGAATTTTTTAATAGAATTTAATTTTTCTAATTTGATATCATCAGTCAACATATACTAACGCGACCCGAACGGAAAGTTTAGCGTCAGTCTCTGACGACTGACATGGCACTTAACGTGTTAATTGTATATATCAATATATATATTAATTGTATATATGAAAATGTATATATTATACTAAACATGAAAATTTTCCAATAAATGGTAATTTCAATATCAATAAATTGTCTGGCACTAAAAGAGTGAAGAGTAATGGTGAAATTGTCACCTCCATGTTCTTCGTTTCGTCCAGAACCCTTTCGTGGGTTTCGTTGTCGACTTTGAAGGCATTTTGGAGATGATTCAAGAGAGATTCCTGTCCGCATTCATTCGAAACGTCGTAACCGATTTGGTGCTGGGTCATATAAACTAGAGCAGCATAGAGCTCCTCAATCTGTGTGCAAAAGACAATTCTTCAAATCGACTTTAATAGGAAATCGACAAGGTGAACAAGTTTCTATTGAATATTCCGTTGAAGAATAAAATTAAATAAATTGCGTAGCAGGGAAATTTTCTTCGAGTCGCAATCTTTTATCATAATTCTTATGGCTTCTTTGTTTTTCGCGGATGTCAATAATTAAGTTATCGTGCAAAGCAAGCGAAATCGGATTGCGTCATGAGTAATTGTAGCATCTGTTCTAGTGGTAAGTTCAGCTGATAAAGCGCACGCGAGAAGATTTCAAATGCGATTCGCTCGTGTAAGCGTTGTGTCGCGTCGCCCGAGGTACGACATTCATGGTTCAAAGTTCTCTCAGAGCATTGAGACATGCCTCGATTGGACAACTGGCGACAAAATAAGGTATATCACATGGATAATTTTGTTTACTTCCATTGTCGACAGATGAAGCACTGTTCAAAGAGAATGGTCTGTAAATGTAAGTTTCGAAATACTTCGTCTTAGATTTAATAAAATGAGAATCATTAATTTTGATAACACATAAAAAATTAACACATGCATATTTATTCCTAGGGAGAGTTCAAAAATTAAAGGGGAAGTGTTTTGATATAAGATAAAAATTTAAGTGCCTGTCTTAGTCTCAATTAAAAATAATTCCTATCTTCCATTCTTCAATCCTATTTCTTCATAGGAACACATAAATTAATCCAAGAATTCTTATTGTTAGAAAGATTTTAATCGAAATCAAAGGGTGAAGGTTTTGACATAAGATAAGAAACTTTCTGTCTAATATATCAATTAAAAATGATTCGGAATCGACTTACCGTCATAGCCTGGAGGAGCGTATCGGTCCTGCGTTTGAGTTCCGCTTTAGGTACTCCACGGAAGGTGTTCCTAACCCGATTAAGGGTGGACACCTTCAATTGTGGATTAGTGCTCACCATTTTCGATTCACAAGCACTATCTATTTTTCTATCACTCAAATTCTATCCAGACACCACATCGCACTACGGTTTCGTACATTCCATATCCACAGAAAATCTGAATATATTCGATTTTCTTCTACATCACTTCATCCTTCGAGGAACACATTTTACACTTGGACCTCCAATGATTGAACAATTTTCTTCTAAGCACGATTTAGAAACAGGAATTCTCGACTGTTTAAACAAGCACTTGAAATTATATGGAAAATAAAATTTTACAACCACATAATTAATTGCGGAGCATTTAAACTGCGGATGGTTTTGAATATCTTTAGAAACTGAGTTGTTTAAGTAGACAGCTGGGAGAAATGATAAACAATGCCTCGAAGGTGCTCCGCGTGTGACGAGGCTCGAACTGTTCGAAAAACGGGGAATCGAAGAGCGTAGTTGTACTTTGTCAGCCGAAGATGAACTTAGTCGACCGCGACCTTTGCTATCTGGCCTACGCATATTTATTCGGCCCGTACATATGCTTAATCGAAGAGAGGCATCTAATCGAACAAGGAGTATTGATTAAGGCGCATTGTATGCTCTGAGTATGAGAATTACACATTGAACTTTCGATTGTACAATAACATTTTTTAATTCGAAGGATTTAGCTACTTTTATCACAAATACTACGCAGTGGAATGTAAATAAGTCGATGTATATTTTATTTTAAGCCTCATTTTATAACCACGCTTTGTGAGCGTGAACAGCTGAGCAGGAAATTCATTTCGTTACGAGTGTTACGATGTGTGAATGAATTTTTTACCACGTTCCTCATGATATTGACCTAGTTTAAGTGTCTACTACAAAACGACTTCGTCTATCTAACGAATTGTACTATCCTTGTTAAAGAGGAGTTTGCGAACTTCTCTTACTTTCTATTTAAAAAGCATAATATGTATCATTCATAGTGAATATAGATATTTAATACTTGTTCATTTTTCCTGCTCTTCTAATATTATTTCAAAAGAATTGTTCCAGTAAACAAGTTTACTTAATACCAGAAATGTTAAAATAAATTCATGTAACCGAAACGGATTTTTGTAGCTAATTTACAATTGGTCTAACACAACTCAGTTTTCCTCGTTTTATCTATGTAATGAATTATAATTTTACAATCCTGGCTAAAGACGAGTTTGCAAATATACTACTTTTTGTTTAAAAAAATCATATAAATTGATGTGTTGCTTGTTCATTTTTCTTGCTTTTTTAATATTATTCCAAAAGAATTATTCCAATAAACAAGTTTCCTTAATACCAGAGTTGTTGTAACTTAAATGAATTTTCGCAGCTAATTTACAACTCGCATGACACAATTCATTTTTCCTCTTTTTGTCTATGTAATGAATTATAATTGTACAATCTTGGCTAAACAAGAGCTTGCAAATATACTACGTCTCGTTTAAAAAAGAATATAATTTACAGTGGATACATGCTTGTTTATTTATTTTTGCTCTTTTTTTAATATTATTCCAAAAAAGTTATTCCTGTACTTTATCTGGTACCGAAAATTCTGACATGACATGTAACGAATTCTTGCAGGTAATTTATAACCAGCCCACAACTTCACAATTCACTTCTCCTGGTTGCGTAATTCACCAGTTGGAAATCGTTAATTCCGTTCTTCGGGTATCAGGCAAATGTCTAAGGCTACCGCTCTTTTTTTAGCGCTTGTTTCAATCGACCTCTCAAAAGGAACGCCGGGAACGCAACAACCGAAATAGTTGCTCCTTCGTTCCTAGTTAGGGAAAAATGTTCGAGGATTGACTCAACATAAAAAACTCTACTGCTGAAGTCTTCCTAAAATTTATTTTCTTTTTTCCTTTCATTTAAACAGAAGAATAAGTGAAGCTAAACAAACACATACGTGATGATTAACTGTTTGTATGAGAGATAGAAGATCAGTTTGGACCAGCAGATCAGTGAGAATCGTGAAAACTGGGCCATAGCCTTTAGCATCGACTACGTATAATAACAGTTGCCAAGAGCAATTGACTCTGACAATGAAATTCCACTTATTTGTACGCATTCTGTACTTCTAACATTGGCCTATTGGTATAATCGATCGATATTTAATGCTGATCAAACATTTTCTCAAACTAAAAATCAATCGTTAGAAAGATAGAGCTATTTCCTGTTACACAATATCTTAATCAGATAATTAAAAAGGTCAATGACAAATCCGTTAATACGCCAATGGAAAACACGAAGGAAAGACTGACATTGGCTTTATTGGAATAATCCAGCTTGTAATATTTAATGTTAATCAAACATTTTTTTAAACCAAAAATCAATCATTAAAAAAGGAAGAGCTTTTTTCTGTAGTAAAATTTTTTAATTAAATAATAAGAAGTTCAGTGGTAAATTTGTTAATAGGCCAATAGAGAACTCGAAAGGAAGATTATTATTGGCCTTGTTATAATCGAGTAATTGAACAATATTTAATCCCAATGAGACATTTTCTAAAACCAAACATCAATCGATGTAAAAATCATTCATAAAAGAAGAGCTGTTGCAAAACATTTTAATTACGTAATGAAAAATGGTTCAATGCCCAATCCGTTAACAGGCCAATGAGAAACGCGAAAGGAAGGGAATGAATCTGCACGGAGGGAAACTATGCCGTATCCTGTTTGAACCGACCTACGGGGCAAGTGCAACCACAATGCGTGTATGTATGTTCGCGCAATTGCGCCCAATGAAAATTGATATACCACGACAATTAGCTGATTGACCGAGGAAGCACGCGTAGATGAGAAACATCGTCGAGCCGACCTCCGAGGCTAGGCCCGATTTTCGAAATACATACGCGCATTATGCAAGTTTGTCTAGATCTACCCGCCCACGTACGCGTCGCGCCTATTTCGCCGCGGAAACCAATTAATTTAGGAAATCGCGAGCCCCTTCATTTATTGCTATGGACGTTGGGAGATCCTCACTGTTTCGAGATTTTAATACAAATAATATTTTATGAAACCGAGGAGAAAAGAACCTCAGATCAATTAAGAGATTGAACAGGTATTTGATAATATTAAAGGATGTTATGAGTAATACTGAGGTGATCAGAATTTTTAGGTAAATTGTTTCATTGGATTTCGATTCATGAGAATTTTTTTCTATATTCTTAAGGCAGTATGACAGTTTTTAAGAATTTCAGATATTTTTCTGATATTTCTTTCTGTGAATTCTGATAAAGAACGAAACCACGCGGCTGACAGTCTGCCAATTTTTTAGACTACAGGACCGAAGACGATTGCCCAAGTCGGTCCTCGCGGTAGGTTTGATTTATTTTTATTACCGCGGCGACTTTTCGATGAGCGACCATCTGTGCCTCAATGGCCAACAAATAAGACACAATCGGACAATTGCCACACAATACGTCTGGTTATCCTTTGGAGCGGAAACCGCGATCGCCGTATCCCGGCCTAACGAATCTGATCAACCTCGCATACCTTCAATCTTACCGTTTCCGGTCACCTAGAAATTTCTCAACCTATCACTATTCACCCATCAACTTTAATAATAGAATAATCTTAATTGAGAGTTAGGAAAATAATTAGAAAATTCAGTCTGAAACGTTTCTCCACTCACTGACATAATCCGAAGTCCTGTTCCTGTTTTATTTGCACACAGCTTTTATTTTTCTAAATTAAAACCTGTTTGTTCTATGTTGAGTAATTTATTTTTAAAATTAATTAACATAATTTAGAATTTTGATCACCGGTTCCTTCGACAAAATTGTCGAATTAGGAAATATTTGTTGAATTTCGAGTCATTTTGATTCACAATTTTTCAATCACTGGAAGTGTTCAAAACGAAGGGACGCGGACAGGATAACGGTGGTGGCTAGTCAGTCTGAAAGGAACCTGACGGAGGCGAGTAGCATACTGCCAGGAATAGACGGACCGAGAGATCAGAAGTCGTCGCCGTCGACGTCGACGATTCAACTAGCGTCACACGCTGGCTATGCTACAAAACCAGAGTCGCGTTTCAAATTGAGCTTAACTGCTCATTGAGCTTCGAGGATAACACCCCGCGACAAGTGCGGGTGTGCGAACGCGTATCGGTGACATAATTAATGCATTCACATGGTCCCGTTCCCTCTCCATACTTCTCTCTTTTTGTACCTTCGCAGCGAATCGAGGGATTGGAATTGTTTTCAAAGATAACGCACCTGACTAGGGCTGGGATCACATACCTCGCTAATGGGTTCGAACTCGAACTCTTCTAAATACTTTTTAGAAACAGAAGCCCTAAGTGTAGTCGAACCTACGTAAGTTTGTATAGTAGTTTCGAACTTTTTACAAGTACTTTGGAAGTAAACGGAAGTAATACTTAGTCGAATAAATTTATACCTAAATTCTCCGATCTTTCTATTCATTAGTTACATTTAGTGACTTCAAAATCGTCTAAAATGAGGGTCAGTTGCGTTCTTATCTTGTTTTGTATAAAAAATCTTTAGACGCTTTGTATATTGAAGGAAAGTAGAACTTCTACTCATAATAGAGCATTCAATTGATACTGCGAAGCCGATATCTTATTAATATTCCACAACGTATTACACTATCATAATTCAATGGAATATCGAAATAAATAATTAATTAAATGATACCCAGAACTAGTTAGTTAATATTCATACAATATAGTGCATCAGTCAAGTTGATGAATTTCTTTCTCGACATTTTAATCATTAGGCTGTGGATGTTTATGCAAATTCCTATTTTCACGAATAAAATTAAAGAAATATATAACTAATAATAACTTTCTTAATAGGATCGCAAAATTTCTAAAATTTTGTACAGTGTTTTTTTAATGTAATATCTAGCAACTGTTAAAATTTCAATACTTTGTCACTGTTTTTATGTAAGGGTTCCTTAAATGAAACAGAAAATTAAATTAGAAGTGCTGGACAGGAATTAAATCTTATCTTGTCCTTCACAATGTATGACTATCTTTGATCATTTATCCAGGACACTTTCCCACGTCTTCGTTCATCTGCTTCTTATAACGTCTTCAAAGAGCGTTGCATAAGCGTAAAACGTTGTTACTGACCGAACAGGCCAGCCCTTATTCATGTACTGACGCAGTCAACGTTATCAAAATATCCTTAGTCGTTCGATGACGCGTCAAAAGATGCATCCGCGTGTATCGATAGTATCCCAAGTCATTTTAATCTCAAGACATTGAAAGGTTTTGAAGTTCCGCGAATCCAAGAAAAGAAACACTCGAGAACTCCGACGTTCGGCTATTCAGATTAACAAATCTACTCGGAGCGCGTATTAGATCGACGATTTTATAGTCTATTTGACGGTGGCTAAAATACACTATGACTATTTGAGAGCTGCATCAAATTTTTGAGAGCAGATTGAACTAAATATTCGCAATCGATAATATATACAGGTTTAAATATATTATTTAATGAGCTCCATCAAATTTTTTAGAGCAGATTGAATTGGATATTCGTTATATTTAATAATATACATCGAATATTCAATCTAATCTGCTCTAAAAAGTTTGATGGAGCTTATTAAATAATATATTTATTATATTTAAATATATTCAATTATATGTATAATCAGAGAAACTCAATAGAAACATGTTCACAAAATACATAGTAAATAATTGCCACTCACGTTCCAGCCCATGGATTCAGCCAAGAAATTCGTGGCATGCTCGTTTTCATCCCTGTCGCTGTCGGTTTCTAAGAGTGCATCGACAGGCTCCTCGATGCTACTCTCCTCGCTCAAATCGTCCTCCTCTTCCGCTTCCTGGACCTCATCTTTTTTCTTTGGAAGCGGTCCTTCCGCCTGTTCCTGTGCCCGCACCTTCTCGGCCAACAGCGTGCCCAGATTTTCAAAGAAACCACCATCAGACTCTTGAACTCTAAAAGCAAAACATAAAAAGATGAATTTAAGAAAGAGCAATCTTCGTGTATCACTGTTTCCACGTGTACGAAGATTACACAGAGCGAGAGGTTAAAAGTGATAGATGAAGTATGAAACTCTCGGGATAAACGATAAAGGCTGGTCTTTCCAAGCTGAATTCTTTTGCCAAGTTCGTGCGGTGTTATTGCGATGTCACATGACTTCGGGGCTCCGACACTGGTCGTTCTCGCTAATTACGCTAAATAGGAAGCCAATAGAAACCGCCGAGTGTATAATGGCTCATTCTTACAGTCAGTCATTAGCAGTTTCACTACTTCAAATTTTCATATCAAACAATTGCATTATTAATGAAGCCCAAAAAAAAACGCAATGTGATAACAGATTAAAATACATATTTGCATAAAAATGCAAGCAGCTACATTCAATTCTTGGTAGAATCCTAGATTTTTTTAATTCTTAACATTTCTGTCGTACAAACAAAACAAAGTGATGCAGAAATAGTATCGCTGTTATTGATGGAGAAAGTTGCCAACTCTGTTTGCGTGGGACGCAGGCGTTGCGTTACTAAGCAACCAGCGGTACAACACACTTCTTCACCTTTTATGAATGAAGTTGAACGCAGCGAATTTCCAAAAGAATCTCGCCGTGGTCACCGGCTTCGTTTCCGGATTTTGCCACATTCGGGCAGCGGCGATCGCGAGGTAAGGATGCTGCTCGTCCAGCTTTTCGAAATGCGCCATTTTTCGAATCTCCGTCCTTTTGAGCTCCATCAAATTTTTTAGAGCAGATTGAATTGGATATTCGTTATATTTAATAATATACATCGAATATTCAATCTAATCTGCTCTAAAAAGTTTGATGGAGCTTATTAAATAATATATTTATTATATTTAAATATATTCAATTATATGTATAATCAGAGAAACTCAATAGAAACATGTTCACAAAATACATAGTAAATAATTGCCACTCACGTTCCAGCCCATGGATTCAGCCAAGAAATTCGTGGCATGCTCGTTTTCATCCCTGTCGCTGTCGGTTTCTAAGAGTGCATCGACAGGCTCCTCGATGCTACTCTCCTCGCTCAAATCGTCCTCCTCTTCCGCTTCCTGGACCTCATCTTTTTTCTTTGGAAGCGGTCCTTCCGCCTGTTCCTGTGCCCGCACCTTCTCGGCCAACAGCGTGCCCAGATTTTCAAAGAAACCACCATCAGACTCTTGAACTCTAAAAGCAAAACATAAAAAGATGAATTTAAGAAAGAGCAATCTTCGTGTATCACTGTTTCCACGTGTACGAAGATTACACAGAGCGAGAGGTTAAAAGTGATAGATGAAGTATGAAACTCTCGGGATAAACGATAAAGGCTGGTCTTTCCAAGCTGAATTCTTTTGCCAAGTTCGTGCGGTGTTATTGCGATGTCACATGACTTCGGGGCTCCGACACTGGTCGTTCTCGCTAATTACGCTAAATAGGAAGCCAATAGAAACCGCCGAGTGTATAATGGCTCATTCTTACAGTCAGTCATTAGCAGTTTCACTACTTCAAATTTTCATATCAAACAATTGCATTATTAATGAAGCCCAAAAAAAAACGCAATGTGATAACAGATTAAAATACATATTTGCATAAAAATGCAAGCAGCTACATTCAATTCTTGGTAGAATCCTAGATTTTTTTAATTCTTAACATTTCTGTCGTACAAACAAAACAAAGTGATGCAGAAATAGTATCGCTGTTATTGATGGAGAAAGTTGCCAACTCTGTTTGCGTGGGACGCAGGCGTTGCGTTACTAAGCAACCAGCGGTACAACACACTTCTTCACCTTTTATGAATGAAGTTGAACGCAGCGAATTTCCAAAAGAATCTCGCCGTGGTCACCGGCTTCGTTTCCGGATTTTGCCACATTCGGGCAGCGGCGATCGCGAGGTAAGGATGCTGCTCGTCCAGCTTTTCGAAATGCGCCATTTTTCGAATCTCCGTCCTTCGAAAGAAAAACACAGAACCCTCTTCTTAAACTCGGCGTCGGAGACAAAACAGAGCACAGAAGACGACGCACAAGACAACGATTGATATTTTTCCTGCGAGATGGATGGAAAATCTTTGCGCACTGATCGCACAAGGACCAATTTGTTCACTATTATTTTCAAGAAATAATCTTCCCAAGATGAATCGGTTTGCGTTATTTGCAAGGAAGAAAGACGCCAGACATAATTATGTAGATTGATACGTTAGATTAAATTGATTAATCGTAGTTGCAACAATCCTCCATCACGTACTTTTGCAAATAAATACTCTTAATCACAGAAACCGACGAACTGCACAAATAGAAAAGGAAGTCTCTTTAACAATTCCACGATTTTATTCACATATAACGTTCGGTTCACTTCACTACGAGATTTGATCTGCCCGCAGTAGAATAGGACACTGATATACAAACGTGTTAGCCGTGGCATGTCTGACCAAGAACTGCTGGAGGACCCCAGGAGAGACAGAAGGAAGTAGGAGGCAGGACGCGATATCCCCGTCAATAGACATTGAAATTTTCCCACAGTTTAAATTATTATTTACCAAGATCCCCGTCATTACTTCTAATATCGTACGTAGATTCTGTCTCCAAGACGTAACTTGAGATTACTTAACTGACCTACAAACCGTAGTCAATTATAATTGCAAATAAATATGTAAAATATTATGTGTCGTAACAATTTTCTTTATTATTAAAGAGTGTGGAGGTATTTTATGTTGTAACGCGAGAATTGTCTTTATGTTACAATCATGCTAATTATATTGCAAAAATACTATGATACCTAAGTCTACGTTTATATAACAAAATATGTTATATAGCGAAGTTACATATATTGTTAGAAATGCAGGAAGTAAAATGTTTTATAACAGATTTTATGTTGCTGTAAGGAATTCGTATAACATTTTGCACCTCAGTATTCATAACGACGTGAGACGTCGAGGACACTAGCAGTGCTTCTGTAATTTCATTGGCAGAACAATGTACGGCTGAATAAAAATTCTAGGTACATCATTATTAGCTCGCAAATACAGTAGCAATGATGTTCTAGCAGGTTGACAGAAAGATATTGAAATGAAGTTTTAATTACATGAATAAAAAGTTTCGATTTTAACTAATAATTAATAAATCAAGTTGGAATGATATGCCATTCGATGCAATACAAATAAAAAACGACTGAGAGTTACTTAAAGGTTGAAAATCTCTGCCAAACTCTAATTCAGACTGATAGGAATGGAGGAAAGGATTTTAGCAAGTGGAGATTCTTTATTTTGTAAATGCGATTGAATTATTGTAATGAATTGTAGAAATTCGTTATATAACAATGTTTTGTTATATAGATGTAGCTTAACAATGCGAGTTTAATGGCAAGTTACCAACTGTTTGATCTACCGGGCTATACCTGAATTAATAATTACTGAACTTCGCCATTTACTCTGCCTATTATTAATAAATTGCAACCACTGTGCTTGGAATTAATGATTTGCAGGAAATGCAATTAATAATCTATAGGGAAACGTGACTCACGTGAATCACGTTTACTGAAACCACTGAAAGAGATACGTATAACGAGTAACAGTCATATTGACCGCACGAATCTGGATTCCCCAAGATTCTATTTCAGATTTCAAGGAAGTCTGTTGTTCCAGTTTAAAAAAATGTATTTATAACTTCCAATTGTTTTTAAATCGGACGTGTGTAAAGGAAGTAAAATGAGTTGCGGAGCAAAATAAGAGGAGGTAAACCAGCCTTGCGTCACTTTCAATTTCTTTATTTTCCCAGCTATATGCTATTCTTCTTCAAACCGATGTCTTTTTATTTTTAACCCGAGTAGCGGGCACGTGATTCACCGTGTTGCATTCCTCTTCTCAGCACGCCGCGAACATCGACACTCTAAAATACGTTCGGGCTTTTTACTTTTGTCATTTCACGTTGCAGCCAGACTGTTGCAAGCTTAGCTCTAATTAGAGTTTATGAAACAAGTCCGAACGAATACAAACTTTCAAGTAACAATAAGTGATAAAGAATTTGATTGGAGTTATGAAATTGAATTACGATAATTTAGGAATGTCACTTTATCTGAGATTAGAATGTTGTCTGAGGGTAAGAGGTGCAAGGTCTCCGATGATGTAACTCGGCCTTCACAGATCTCAATCGTTTTATTTTCAAAACTTAAACCGATTTAATCCGCCTCGCAATTAGACTTCGCGCTTGACTACGTATTTTCATGTTTTCCGCTTACGTTCACATTATAATTTGCGAATCTTGTGAAAATGAAAAAAAACATGATAGAAGACCTTCTACTTTAATACAACAGTTTTTCTTATGCTTATGGTCCTAGCAATGTGAATATAATAAATTTTCTAATTTCTGTTCACACCATAATTTCTACTGGCTCAATAATACATATAAAATTACAGAAAGAAAAATCTATATCCATAATCTAAAAAATCTCTTTTAAAATGTCAATTTTTAATATAAGTGAGTAGCGATTTTCTCGACATTTATTATTCTTTAACCCATTTTAAAATGTCCATTTCTAATATAACTTAGTAAAGAATTCCTCGACATTTATTATTCTTCAATCTTGTTTTAAAATGTTCATTTTTAATATAACAGGACAGAGGATTCCTCAACACTTATTCAACTTCTGTTAAAATGTTCATTCCTAATATAGTTGGACATTCACCTACGGTACTTCTGGCCTCACGCTCGTAATCAACTCGTTTTCCTTATTGTCGATGCGTGTACAACGAGCAGAAAGAAGGAATTCCCGGCGCTTTCAATGACGTATTCACCAATCTAGATTTCTCGCTGACCCATGCGAAATTGAGTCGCTTGGGGAATTCTGCAGAGCAGATTCACGACTACATTACAATTACAATTGTTAATTATTGCTTTATCTACAATCTATCACGATGCGCGAAATTATTGTTACGTCTTACAATTTTCTTAATTGCCAGCAAATGATCATGAGAATTAATCTTCGTAAAAGCTTTCAAACATGATCATTCTAGCTGATTTACATATAAAAATGAATAGATAGTATAATTATGTGTTGAATATGCGTTATATACGACGGCTTTGAGACACATCATAATAGTTTCCTTATTTGTATTACTATTCTTGTGTCGGCTACGCAACACCTGAGACATCATAAAAGAATTAATTAGCACCGCGTACACGTCTCTCCCATTACCGTTTAAGGAGACCGCGTTCAATACAACAGTCCAGTTTCTACCTCGTCTATACAATTCCCAAGATATATGTATTCATGAGACGAATTCTCCTTTGTGTTTTTTATACCCAAATCACCGCTTACGTGACATATTTGAATAACACATGAGCACTTCTTTCATCTAATACATATTACTACAGTAATTAAGAGGTTTTGTTTACAGACAAAGAAAGCTTGCACATACATATAGTCGATAAAGAGTATTTTCAAAATCAGGAAATATCATGGATAAAAAAAGAAATAGGCCGAAACCAAGTATTGTAAATGAAATATTATACTTAAATAGTGATGAATTTAATAAATTAAGTGTTTAAAACCGACTGTGCAATTTTGATTTCCAAGATTCAGGCACTACTTGTGAAAGATTCGATTTTTTTAAATATCGAAGTACACTTTTATGAATTTTCTCGAATCTTGTAAGTACTCATTCTGAGGTTTGATATCAGTTTAAATGATACTGACGCAGTATCTATTATTTTTAAAAAATAATGTATACGGAAGTATTCTTCATCGTTGATCATCCGGACCTTCGTAATTAAATAATTTCCGCGGATTGTGGATTATGCGACTGCATTTTCCGCACACTTCTGAATATTCACTCTATTATACAGGGGGTCCTGCAAAATGTGTGATGAGTTTTCGTACACCGCGGAGCCTTTCAAAACGCGAGGCCGGGTTCCGGCAAACGCGCTGAACCTGCCTCGCGCCGGCCCTGGTATGAAGTAAATAGTCTTCAAATATAATCATTGGGAGATTATTGTTTTTGAGTACTAATCAAAACCAATAAAATGAAAATTGATTATTGAACTTGGCTAGATTTGTGATTATATACTGAACGTGATTCGATTTCTAGTATTAATAAACCATAGAAAGTTATGATTTCGTTATATATTGAGCAGTTCTCATGCCAATGATTGTTCCATGGCATTGAACGGCAATAAATCACGAAAAGACGACCTTGAGTCACGGATCTCAGTGGCCGGTTACGTATTCCCGAGACCCGGTGCAGCAATTCCACTGCAGATGTTCCGTGACTCGAATTAGTCTCATTTTATTAATAGCACGCAAGCAACGCGACGGAGCATTCTAGTTTGTAATCTCGCGAAGTACAGTAGTACACCGGCGTTGACTTAGCGACATAAACCGGTGAATCACGTGCTTCGAACCGAGATGCTGACACGGTGTTTACATCACGAATTTTTGAAGAAAGATAAGTTAATTGTTCAGAAAAATGTCGAAACAGGAAGAGGCGTAACCCGCCGTTAGATCACCTCCAACCGTTTTTATCCCTTGCAATTCGCATTGGCAATAGCTGTGAGTCATCATATTGACGCAGACTCTGACTTGAAGTCGCATTTACATCTGAATGATTCTATGAATGGAGGCAAGTATTTTCTCCTTTCTTGCCTCGGAAATTGTCCCACTTTAAAGAGCTATAGCCAAGACAAAACCAATCGATTCGCCGAGGCTGCAGTCCTCCAATCCCAAAACGAAGGAAACAAACGTTCTGCGGATCGGTTTTGTATCTCCACACCAATACTTGATTAAATGATTTATATTAAAAATATGTTACAAGAATCTTTAAAACGTGATTTTTATTAAACCATGTTAATTTGTATAAGCGTTGAATAATTATTTGCACAAGTACATCCGAGTTAAATAAACTGTGAGTAATATTACAGACGTAAATTAAAGCTGGATTTTGGAGTCAGTTAAGCAATGCCCGTTCCAGTTGTTCCACTCTCTACCTTGCCTCGTGCTCCGAATCCTCTTGCTTCTCCTTTTCCTTCGCTTCCTTCTCCGTTACGATCTTATGGTAGAAATCCTTCCACATCGTCTCCTCGTCCATCCTGTCAGGTGTATTCTTCACGGTCAGGTGAGATTCACAACATTCCTACACAGACTCTTCAGAGCGCGACTCTTGCTTCCTGTTCTAGAGGCGAACGTCACTTTTCTAACGGTACGGAAGCCGCGAATCGCTCATCGCTATTAAACGGTGCCAGAAATTTGGTGAACGGCTCGACCTTAACGAGCCGGCAGGTCACTTCGAGCTCACAGCAAGTATCGTCGCAAGTAACACGCCTAGCCAATCCATACACTAACGCTTCCAGCCAGTAGAGGGCGGCTGCTTACAGACATCAATAGTTACTTTCTTAAACTTATTTTTGCCACTCTTTTGCCCTTTAAGAAAGAAAAAGATGCATATTTTCTTTTTTTAATTTAATTTAATTGAACGCAGTCGTAGAATGTGTTCCATGTCTGTTAAAATGTCGGATGGAATCCATTGGATCCAAGGTCATAGTTGGTACCAAAATGGCTTAAGCTCTTTTGATGGCGCCGTGAATCTTGAATAGTATCAGTGAGTCAACAATGACAGATGAAGCCTGTCATCGTAATGAGATCACGCTGTTTGTGTATCAGGTGCACTCGAGAGGAATTAGTAAATCGTTGCCAACGAATCATTTTCGAATTACAACGGATGATTTCAGGCAAAAGTCATCAAGTGTCGTTGACATTCTGTTGGAAGTCGATGATCCTTCGTTTGTTAATCCCGATTTGTTACATTTGTACGTTGAATCATTGTTCATTGGCGAATAATATAAGTTGTGAAAAATAGAAATTTAATTATTCACTAAATAATAATGAAGAATAATTTTCAATGAACGATTGAATCAATTCTTAATTAGAAGAAATCAGATTTAATTATTAACTCTTCATTAAAGAAAAGTTTTAAAAGAAACTTCAACGATTAAAATTTAATCGTTAACTGTTAATACGATTAAAAAAAACTGCAGTCCTGTTCTAAACCTCATATGATTGAAATAAAGATCAGAGATATTTAAATACAGAAAAATGTTGTATTGTTTTTATTTCAAATATTCCCTGTCCTATTTTCAAGCATGCGTTTACTTGCCTCTTTTATTTTGTAATGTTTCATTGAAAATTTATTGAAACTGTCCATGCAACACGGTTTACGAGGTATTATATCTAATTTGAAGCAATGGTCTAATCTGAAATGTAGTTGAAAGCGTCTGAGGATATGTACTTGCGCGCGAAAAAAGAGCAATATTTCAGTGAGTTATCGAAAATGTCACAAAGAACTTTGATATACAGTAGAGTATAAAACACTGAAAAAATGCACGTCGTCAGGGCAGAAACACATTTATTTTCATCATGTTTTTCAAGCCGGTTTTGTTTCTTTTCTCTTTAAGTAAGTAAAAACCGCGAGAATTCGGTTATATTTTAATTCACTAATTATACGTGTACTTTCGTACATCTCCTCGTAGGTTCAATTGTACCATTTTCAATTTCTGGTCCAAACAATTCTTCGATATCGTACAGAAGCTCGCAAACGAATCCTAACGAGTTTGTGCTGGTTAATCCCGAACAAGTGCCGCAGTTGGAGAAAACAATTCGATATTTTTTCTCCGAGCTAGCGGAGCCAGTTAATCAACCAATTATATTGAGATCAACGTCGGCTAATGATTTGCAATCGACGATACGAGGGATATGTACTTGCGCGCGGAAAAGGATCGCTGATCTCGCTGGTGACTGTGGATTAACTACTTCGGTGCAATTATACAAACAGAACACTAACGACGATTCCTTGTCCGAGGATTGGTATTCTGAAACTTTGTTACAAAGCGCCTACTTGGTGCAGGATTTGAGCAACGTCATCAACGAAGCTTCCTCCACGTACGAATTGTATGTAGGGAATGGAAACGAGACTTCGCAGGGAAATAAGGTTTGTAATTAAATTAAATGGGTTAAAGTTGTGTCAATCCTTTCTTAAATGAAAACGATAATAAAGCATTCGAATTTTAACAGTTGCTCGTTGTTATATTAATAAAACAATGTGGATTTTCTTTCATTTATCAAAAAGTATAAATACATTAAATTACACTGTGCAAAATTTTATCAATTAAAAAATGTATTATTAAAGGTATTACATCTTGAATTCTTATGTTGAATCACAAAATTTTGGAAAAAACGATTATAAACAGTGAAGGTTCATCTGGTTTGTCATTATAATTCCAGAAGAACTTCGGTTTCGAATACTTAGGCGTAGTGGAGGATGCATCAGATATGAGCGAAAGTTTAGCCCAATGTCTATTAAAAATGGCGAGCAGACAGACGAATAAATCGTCGTTCAATTTGGGACAGTCGGTCTTAAATTTATTAAAAAACATACCAAAATCCAGATTCAAAACCATAAAACCCAAAATGAGTAAAATTCCGGATCAAAGTGGTTTACTGAAAAATGGCAAGTACAAACCCTGGCAAATCTATTTTTGCTTCACGGCGATGACGGAACAAGGAATTAATTTCAACGAATGCATGAACGAACTGCAAACGCTCGAAACCTGCCTGAAAGATTTTAGAGAACAGTCGAACAATGCAACGTACGAGTTCGAAGTGAAACCGTGGACGAAGGCGATCCGACAGTTGAGCGACTGCAAGATTCAGGATAAGCACGGGAAAGTGGAAGTCTCTTGCAAGAGTTTTAAGAGGATGCCAAAAAAGATTAAAAGAAAGACGAGATACGTGTTCGAGAAACTGTTGGATAAGAAAATATCGGCAGGATCTCCGTTGCACCGAGCTGTCGATGATCTCGGCGAAACTTTATCGAAAACCGAAAGGGGACGCAGGTTCGTGGATGAATTATGCCAATACGCCAGTATCTACGAGAGTGGCCAGAAGAAAGTGAAAAAGTCATTGAAACTAGCTAAGAAGAATAAAAAGGCGATGAAGAGGTTGATAAAATAATTTCCATCAACGGTGTTTATTCCATTTCCCTAAAAATGTTTTAATAATCAGGTACAAGGAAGACTTGAAAGCCTTGGAAACGTACAAGAAAGGGATACTTCGTAGATCGTTTGGTACGATGAAGAGACTGCATCGTTCCGCGGTTGATTTCGAAAAGTTCTTCGCGATGGGCATGAAGGACACTTTCAACGAGGCTTGGCAGGGCCACGTGAACGTTTTAACATCTCTGATGGGCTGGATGACCAAACTATTGGATCTCCACGCCAGTGGCGAGAGTTCCCCTGTGACTCCTGGAATTCCATCAGATCCCGCGTCAGGGGATTCGAATGATGACGATGATTCAAATCCCAACAGTGTACAAATGTACGCTCGTTCTAAATCAGGTCATTAAAATCATCCTCGTTGTTTCATTTCTTATTTTATTTAATTCCGTTATGAAATTGAAAAATTATAATTAATTTTCTTCTTTACACAGAAATGGCCAGAGATGTGGACGATTCTATGAATGTCTTGATGAAATCAATGAATAGTTTGAGCAAACGTCGAGGCATAGAAGAGAAAAACATGCTGGCTTTTCTCGCTGACGATCTTCTATTGGTATCGATGGTCATGCAAACCATCAGTTTCGTTTCCTCGTTGTTCTGTTCTGACTACACTGCGTACGAAGAAACTACTCAAGCCTCTGATGAATGGGTTAACCCCTTTGAACAATAATAGTTTATCGAATTTGTTGCAGACTAGTATTGTAAAATAATCTGATAAAATCAAAGAGAATGAAGATTATTTAATTGCGACAAAGAATGTAGAAATCCTTGAAAATAAGTAATAGTGTTGAACGTAGTTTAATTATACTGTACTGAAGCGGATTGAAATAAAAATTGTTCTTGACTTACATTAATGGCTTTTTAATTGCTCTCCTTGTCCTTATTTATCATTTGTCATAATGTAGCAATAATAATTATTAGGTAATATACATATAAAGGAGATGATTTATTTTTTAAAAATAAATTCTGTTCGTTGTTTCTATTTAATAAGACATATTAATAAATTATATTTCGCTCATGTCCTTTTTTAAGATTTCTAATAACAATTCAATAAAAATTTAATACTACAATATTTTTATTCATTATTTATTAAAATTTTATTAGTACTCTAAAGCAATATATCAACTTCCTGAATAAAAAATGTTGTTATCAGCGTACAGTTTTTAGTAAAACTCGTATCGTGTAAAACACCGCATAACTCTTGAAGCTGCGTTAGGATGGCATCATAAATCAATGAAGTAACGTATCTTTAAGTTTTTTGACTTATCTAGTAGACGTTCTTACAGATAATGGCAACAATAATTTTCCAGTTTTTTCTCTTTTACAAAATGCATCACCGCGCGATATATACTATTTCCGAAGATGCAAAGCGTTCTGTTTTTCACGCAGATTTATTAAAGACACTCGCTCCAGTCGCTCGCAGAAATGGTCGCGACATCCACCTTAATACGTGAGTTTTCACATTCGTAGATTTACAATTTCTGAATTTATGAAATAATAAAATATCGTCCGTGCAGATATTATCATTACAATAAATGTAGCAGCCGTCTTTTGCAAAGCGGTGCCGAAAATTTATGGAGGCCACGCAGTTAAAATAAAAGATGCACCATTCGTGGTAAAATAAGATTTAAGTTGCTTTGACATACAGTTGTATGATATTTTGAACATAATTATGTAAATTATTGTAGATTCAGTTCTATGACACATTGGGGTCTATGTGTGGTGGTACGATCCTTTCCACAAGATTTGGTATCACTGCTCTTCATTGTCTGTAAGTTATGTAAATTGCAGATTTTTATGCAACATAAAACTCGTTTATCAATTTAAAAAACGAGATTTAGTAAGAATCTTCCTTTAACCCTTTAAGCATTATAATATGCAGTCCACTGTTGACACCTCATCTACTTTTATATACTTATTATCTCTTATGTTCTTTTCTTAATTTTTATATTTAAAATTCAATAAACAAATTCTTAATTTCTATGCAAAATATTCACAGTAATCAATGGTAAAAATATTTAGCGATTTCGGGAGGAAAGTGAAACACTACGTGAGGGCTGGCACAGATCGATTAGGAAAAGGAGGATCAACTCGTCGCATAAAAAGAATATACTACTATAATAATTCCATCTACTATCCGAACCCGAATGTTCAGTTACACTACTATGACATAGCCTTGTTCGAAGTAAATCCACCTTTTCGATTTTCGAAGACGATTCAACCGGCTAAATTGCCTGAAGAAATCAGCGACCCACCTGACAAGCTGTACGTTTATGGCTGGGGTCAAACAGAAACGGTAAGTACTTGAGATTCAGAAATTTTCATATAATTAAAACTCGTCGTGCTTATTCGCAGGGATTTCGTAACAATTTAATGGGGACAGACGTTTCATATGTGCCATACGAGGATTGCAGGTATATAGCAGACTATTTCGACTTAATTTCGAAGGAACATCATCTCTGCTACGGAGATCTTGGGAAGGATGCTTGCTACGGCGATTCGGGTGGACCATTAGTAGACAGCAATGGTACTCTTCATGGTATCGTTGCTTTTGGCTGTGGATGTGCTACAGCGCCAGGAATATACGAAAAAGTTGCTTTCTATCGACGTTGGATTAAAAGTATCACAAAATTGTAATTCGTTGATCTTGGGATCCCGTTCGAAATATTAGTTTCGTATACAAGTAATTTCGGTTTACTAGTATTAAACAAATTTCAATTTATTTTACACGAAGAGTGAACTTTGGTCAATTATGTATTTTCCATTTTCAACAAAATTAATATCAGATCTTTACAAAGTGAAGATAGTTCATAAGATGTTTGAAGAACCCAATCTCTGCTACAAATGTCATGGAACAAATGCTTGCAAAGGCGATTCGGGAGGACCACTAGTAGACAGTATTAGTACTCTTTAGGGTATTTATATTTGTTCCAATTGTTCGAATAGAGGTGCAGCAATATTCGAAAAAGTTGCTTTTTATCGAAATTCGATTAAAGAAATCACAGGCTTGTAATTCATTGACTTTTAAGTAGTTTGAAATAGGATATGCAGTGATGTTATGTTAAAAACTAGTGCGATTGATTAAAAATAAAGCCGTAAATAAAGACCAGCAATGTTTATAATTGAACGTGACGGATATTCAATTAAAAAGTCGCGTTTCATGCGCGAGTCGATTCCGTACAGTCATTTCCAGGAAAGGGGAAAAGCCGTGTCAGTGTCTGGCCCGTTCAGGTTCGATGCACGCAGGAAGTCCATTACGCACGTTCTGCGCAAGATCCTATCCTAAATACACGCGTCCACTCGGCGCACGTACCATGCATGTACGTGGTACTTAGGGCTGAATGAAGTTCGTATAGGACCCTCGAGTAATACGTAATTAGAAACTATTGTACCCGACGTTTCGTATTATCGGCATGCACGGGAGGATGGTAATCCTTTGTGTGCAGCATCGCTCGATGAATTGCGGTCGAAATTATTTCTGATTTCCAAACAAGACCGAGTATCCTTCAATGATTAGTTTTAATATAATTAACGTTAATTCTTACTATTATAGTATATTACCATTTGTTTGCACCTTAACAAAATTCCTTCTATACTTTTTAGCACGTAGCTATTTATTATTAGCATTATTCTTCCGACGTCTGATTTCTTTTTAATTATAGGAAATGCGTTTTTCTAACGTACATCAACTTTTGGGATTGACTGTATAGCCAATACATCCTTAAAACGAAGTTTGGACAAGAGCTTTCTTATATATTCTGGAGTAATATGTAAAGCAAACAATATTATTAGGAATAATTACGAGCGTGCGTAGCGGCGGCAAGACGGAGAGAAGCAACGAAAGGAGGTGCCTGGCGGCGGTGGCCGGTATGGCAGGGAGAGCGAAGGACCCGAAAGAGGCAAAGGACGTCAAGGACAACAGGATAACCAGGACCAGGCAGGCTACGGTAAACTCTGGGTGGAAGAATAAAGGTCTATCTACACTAATATAACTTCGACATAACGTAATCATCAGTAGGGTTTCCGTAGGTCGTAGGACGTACGTTCGGCAACGTAACCAGTGCCCTAGTCTTTAGGACAGTGTATAGAGAAAAGTGAAAGAACCCTCGGAGCAGGTAGTGGATCCTAAACAGCAGGCATATTAGGCAGGCAACATATTCTAAATTACAAGTGTTCAGTCGTTTCACTAAATCTCCTCAGGAATTTTTAATCACTACCTTTTTCTTTCGAGTGAATCGGAAATTCTTGTCTGTCCGACGAAGGTAGGTGAAATTAAATATTCCCAATGTACAATTTCAACTATCACTGTGGGCGGCGTGCGCACGCAAGCGTTACGGCACGCTGTCATTTACTGGGATGAGTCACCTACGCACAGGTTGTTTCCCTGCATAAACAACGGATACCGGGCTTTTCCAGCGCGTCGTTCCGAGGGTCTTTAAACTCTCTTGCCACGTGCATGGTCTCTTAAAACCGTGAGAAGTGCGTTATCATAAGTTACATCCGTCGACGCGTTTATCTGTTCACTATTGCCGGCCAATAGTAGCTCGTTAGACGATATTAGAATGTCTGAACGTTTTGTCCAATTGCGGAATGTAAATAGAAAATGGTTTTGTTAATTGAATTATTTACGCCAATCACGGGTGACTGCGTCGAAAAGGTGCAACGCTCCATGCATGAATTAATGAGAGTGTAACAAGGACAACAATAAACACCCTATCGATCCGAGTTACCATGATTCATTCATACGATTCCATGAGCGTAGGGTCATAATTAGACCGCGGACGTGTATGCTTTCTGTCTTTATAAATGAAATTAAGAAAACGAAATGCTTATAAATATTATTGATTATAATTATTAATTGTATTTTACTTTGGATACTTTTTATTTACGTATTGTTGCATACTGTGTTTCTTTATATTTTTTGTAACTCCTATGAATGCATAAATATTCGCAGACTATTAGTCATTTCCGATTTCTTGTTTAAATAAAAGAAAACTGGATTAATAGAATTGGAGAGGAATTAAATCTTGTGTTCTTTACAACTAAGGACTATTTTTTATCATTTGCTTACTACACTTTTAGCCAGTTTTAAATGTAATTACGAATTAATTTCGTTATCGATTCTCTTATCAATATTTATTCTCTTACTCACTCACCCAGTCATTTCGGAAGGGTAAATCTTGTTTCGCGTAGTCCTCAAAACTCGTCGGATTTTTAAATACCAGACATTGCACTTCAGTTTGTAATTCCCATTTTCAGCTACGATGTTTGTCTTCACGCTTTCTGAATCGCGATTCAAATTCTTCAAGGTTGGTGTTACATGTTTCTCTTCGAAGTTTACTATGACAAAGTTGCTCCTGGATTTATTAACGTCCTTCTTAAGCTTCTTTCCACTTAACTTAGTTCGAACGATAGTTCTTTCTAAGTCAGAATCAGGTTTGCTGTCAGTTACAATTGACAGTTCTTTGTTTATTATATATTTTCTTCTGTACTGTGTGGCATCGTTTGTTCTCACAATTTCTGATGCTACTCTCTTGTTATCCACTGATTTAAATGAAGGTTTTCTTGACACTCTCCTACGACGGCGTCTCAGCTTCACGAGATCAGCCATCATTTTATAAAAAAAAATCACGTCTTCAATATCCAATTGTTTCGTTTTTTTGGTACATTAGTAGAAACCAATTTCTTCCGTTAACAGTACGATTTTTATATTTGCAGTTCCAATGAGAAGAAAATTTTGTTCAGTTCATTGTATGTACTTTAAAATAATACGAAATATACTCTTTATTATTGACATTATTAATATTTATTTTGTCTGTTCTTAGTTCATTAATTTCCAAATCAACATCTTCACTTAATGTATGCATCGATATTACAAAAAGATACTTTCTGTTCGATTCCACATTCAATGTCTAAGTTAGTAAGTTTTTGCTTCGTGTGAATAACGCGCGCGAAACTGTGGAACTGAGCACCCACCACAACACACTAAGTGTACTCCAAGTGAAAACACTGCGCCGGTGGTCTTACGCCCTTGTATTACTCAGAGTAGGGAGTAGGGGCACCCACAATTTTTTTCAACTCTCACATATGCGTGAACAACTTCTTCAGTTATTGAACAAGTAATAAATGTATAAACATTAAGAATTTTATTTCTGTTTCGGTCTTCCTTTTTATATTTTTTCCTTCTAAAGGGAAAAAAATCGTTTCTGGGAATTTCATCTTGTTGTAAGGAAAAGCAATACCCTCAGATTTTGATTTATGATATTACAAACCATAATTTATTAAAAGTTTAATACATTTTCCAGTCAGATTTTGAATTAATTAAATTAAGAGGATTAAAAAGATTATATTAAAATTAATGATCGAAGTTTGAACTACTAGTATTTAGACAGTCTTCTTTAAAATTGCTATAGTTGTATTTAATAACAACGTTATAATATATTGTCATTATTAGACTGCGAATTTTATGCATTTATAGAAAAATTGTATCTGGAGTGGATATAAAGAATGTTTGCCACGTTAAAAGGTATACACAATATTAAAAGATGAGTGCTTATTACAATGTTTACATGATAAAAGAAATGACTTTCTTTTAAATGCATTTTTCGAACTGATACTATGAATGTTTTATTTTACATGAAAATCCGCAGTCTAGTTATTATATGTATTTCCCTTCTCTTTGAGTCACGCATATACACTTCAAGGAATTCAACCTTCCACTAAAAATTATATAATTCACATTCACCGCGAAAAAATTTTAATATTAGCTTTGTTATACTTTTTTCTCGGACGCCAATAAAAATGATAAGAGTGATTCGCTGAAATAAGATAAATCCGGTATTCTCTCTCTTTTGTCATCGCGCACCTGTACTAACATTATTGCCATATAATCTGATGCAATAATAGTTATGGTATCACTAAAGTTACACATAATTGCGATAACTTAAGGAAAATTGCTCTCGTCGATTCTTGATGCCTGATAAATGTTTTCAATGTAACAGACAAGTGAAAAGATCAGAGGAACAATCCGAGTCCCATCAATTATCACTGACTGTTTTTTATCAGAATAAAAAAATTCAATCGACGATTGTTAAACGATTGAAACACTGCGGAATTTTGACAAAGTCGTAAATCGCAAAGGGAACCTAATATGAAATATTTAAATTATTGCAGATGAAAATTTAATTAATAAAAAAGATCGAAAAACAAATATCGTTGCGCAGAGTAATAAAATAAATCCAACAGAGGGCCGAATCACTTTTATTCCATTTTTTCGTGTAATAAAATCAATCCGAAATTTTTAGAAAGAAAAACAATTCTTTTTTAGTAACGAATACTTCGAGAGTTTTAATTGCAGTAAATACGATACTTACATGGGTGTGACTCCCACGCAAAGGACATTCGGGATCGCCTTGACCCAGGCATCTCCGTACGCGTCGTACACGACCTGCGATGGGTAGGTGCGCTTCCGCTTGCTCCAGCAGCGTATCTTGCAACCACGCGTTTCCCTTTCGAAGATACGCTTCCGTGGTGGCCACATCGTGCGAAGAACAACAGTAGACTGCCGTAAAGAAACAAAAGTGTTCAAACGTACGCCTATTGTCCGATGGAAATAATGTCCAGCTGCAGCTCCGTGGCACATTTGTCAACCGAGGGAAAATGTGTTGTAACGTAAACGTAATAGAACCGATCGGACGTAACAGGATGATTCAGTTTTCTGCAAACACTCCGTAACTATCATTTTGAAACCATTAGCATGTCTGCTTAGTCGGTGATCGTTGGGAACTCGATAAAGTGAAAAGATCCAGTGGCATCGGTGTGTAAACCGTAGGAGATTAAGGACGTAACTTAAAATTCGGGCAGCCGATAGTCCTTTAGAAGTCGTTTAAGAGTAGTAGTGCACTCGAAATCTATTCGCAATGGGATTAAACAGTATTATTCGTACACTGGGTACGCGATGTTATCATCCACTCTTTTGATCTTCCGGACGAAGAATTCCCATTTTTCTGCTCGCCCGGCGTTCTTTCTTTCCCTGCATTTTCTCTTTGTCTTTAGAGGAGGATTTTTATTACGCGTCCGCCATTAGACGAGGAATCCTCTCTTATTCGCGTATTTTATCCTATTATTGAGCCATTGTTAAAGGGGAATCTACTTCCTCCTTCTAAACCTGAACAGGTCGATTTGAAAACTGTTCCATGTATTTTTAATACTGAAAACTATGTCGTAAATGTTAAATTGTTTAAGCTCTTAAATATAAACAATGATACTTTAAATTTTAACAGTTATTAAATATAATATTAATGAAACACTGTGCAAAATTTCTAAAATTTTGCAGGATTATGAGGAAAGTTATTATAGTAAAAGACCTAATTTTGGGTCATGTATAAATGGCTATTTTTCATATTATCACTGGCTATTTTTTCTATAATATTTTTTCATACATACAACTTTAAATCAGTTTTCCAAATATATTTTCGAATCAGTCGTTGTTATAAACAGCGCAGCGTACAGAATCGTTAGGTTCATAAACTAATCAGCTAATTTAATCCCTGGCTATGTTCCAGTAACATTCTCTAATTTCCTGGCTCTATGAAACGTTGATTAAACGCGAAATTCATTTTGAGAACACACTTACAGCGCATAGTTCTACCTAATTTTACATCATCGTTTCCAATCTGAGTTAACTAAACATTCTACACCATCATGTAACTTTTTATAATAAAATATCAAATTAACAACGTGAATGGACACAGACAAGAATACATTAATATAAAAAACTATCATCTTAATGTAAACATTTAATCGATTAATAAAAATACATTCTTCATATATAAATTAACGTTTCAACGTCAACATGTTTGAGGCATTCAACAATTTTTACAAGCTTGAAAATATTTTTTAAAAGTTGTATTTCACTTATAATTCACAAGAATAAGTGAAATCAATTTGAACCTCGAAGCTTAACTTAATATCATGTACGAGGCAATCAACAATTTTGAAAATATTTTTCGAAATCAGCATTTCCCTTTGTAATCCGCAAGGATACGAAGTGAATCAATAAGGAGCTCGAAACTGAACTTACCTCCGGGCCTTATGGGCGCAGAGTCCATCAAGAAGATTTTCATCTCGGTCCGCGACGAACGTCTCAATCAATCCACCGCGGCCGGATCTCGGGAGACGCAGACCGTGCGTCCGTCAGCCATCCGCTCCACGGGAATCGCTGCGGGGGTGGATTGAGACACCCTGCCGCGGGTGTGGCCGTTCCTGGGATGAACCCTTCTGACAGCCAATCATATCCAAGACAGCCCCACCATACCGGGTCGGAACTGTCGTCCTCGGCTCGCCACCCTCGGGGTTCGCAACCCCCACCGCTAATTGTCCTCGATTTAATATCGCGAGGGGTTGGTAAGGCAACAGAATGTGCGCCGGGAAACGTGGACCGGTCCCTCTCCCCCTTCCGCCCGCGTCAGTTTTGTATGCGTTTTACCCGTGACATCTACATTGGAAGTAGCCGGGGGTGCGGAGGCTCGAGATGCGATGCGCACATTTGCGGATTTTTGGCGGCGTCACCAGCCCGATTTCCGGGGCCAAATTACGGGGCTCGTTTTGCTACGTTAATGATCCCGTCGATGATCGAGGACCCTGGCCTGATATGGGGACGTAACTGATTGTGAAGAGGTATTGATCCAGGTTAACCAGGCCGAGTCAATTTGAGCCCCGACGATGTCGTGCACAGGCAATCTATTAGGTGTTCTCTATGATATGATCGGCAGCCTCTTAGATGAGGTAACAGGTAAATATTCTTATGTTGAGGCTGTTCTGGCTGTGGTAGTTTTAAGGAAAGAAGTGGAGGTCGGTTTTACAACTTTTTTTCTGAGGACGTAATAAAAATTGAAACAACATATTTGAAGATTTATATCACTAATGCAAAAGAATTTATTAAAACACATATGTATGTCGACGGACATCGAAACGTGTAAATAGATTTTAGGCAAATCTAAAAAATGCGATTTTCATCACATTACTTGATTATAGCTCGAGACAAGTTTAACGAATTTCGATAAATTTGTCAAGACATACTAATCTCATATAAATCATCAAAATACATTGTTCAAACGTTGAAACGTTCATTGCAAGTCCAGATAAAAATGTTACGAACACTTTTTCCCTTCGAATGTCTAGGAATTTCAATTTTCCCCAAATTATCTTCCCACATAATTCAGTAAACTAATTCACCTAACTTCTCAGAGAAATTCAGATTATTCGGTGCGAATAAAAAAATAAAATTCGAAGCAGCAATTCGACAAGGAAGAAATTCGAAGCAGTTCCGTGGCCAAAATGAAATCGTTCGTCCATCCGTGTTCATTTTTAACACGGAGGGGTTAAGGCGACGACACGACGTCTAATTAAAGACGAAGGGAAATTTCGAACGAAACTCCGTCGTCTACGTCTTCTATATTGGCTCGTAAGGGCGGCTCTTATAAAGCGTAGCAATTATCCGGGTAAAATACTCGCCGAAATTTCCGTGATAAATTTTCGGCCGTAATAAGGGTGAGTCGCAAGTCATTTGGCCCAGGCTCGTGAACTGGGGTGGGTAGTAGATATCGGTGCTTCAATAGAAATTCTTTCCAACCCTCTCCACATCCTCGGCCGCCTCTACCACGTTTAAACATTCGTCGCTGATTCTATTTCGATGCTCGGACCAGTAGCTTCTTCTTCGAAAAGCTAATAATTATCTGAATGTATTTTAAGCAGGCTGGGACGTAACTGATTGTGAAGAGGTATTGATCCAGGTTAACCAGGCCGAGTCAATTTGAGCCCCGACGATGTCGTGCACAGGCAATCTATTAGGTGTTCTCTATGATATGATCGGCAGCCTCTTAGATGAGGTAACAGGTAAATATTCTTATGTTGAGGCTGTTCTGGCTGTGGTAGTTTTAAGGAAAGAAGTGGAGGTCGGTTTTACAACTTTTTTTCTGAGGACGTAATAAAAATTGAAACAACATATTTGAAGATTTATATCACTAATGCAAAAGAATTTATTAAAACACATATGTATGTCGACGGACATCGAAACGTGTAAATAGATTTTAGGCAAATCTAAAAAATGCGATTTTCATCACATTACTTGATTATAGCTCGAGACAAGTTTAACGAATTTCGATAAATTTGTCAAGACATACTAATCTCATATAAATCATCAAAATACATTGTTCAAACGTTGAAACGTTCATTGCAAGTCCAGATAAAAATGTTACGAACACTTTTTCCCTTCGAATGTCTAGGAATTTCAATTTTCCCCAAATTATCTTCCCACATAATTCAGTAAACTAATTCACCTAACTTCTCAGAGAAATTCAGATTATTCGGTGCGAATAAAAAAATAAAATTCGAAGCAGCAATTCGACAAGGAAGAAATTCGAAGCAGTTCCGTGGCCAAAATGAAATCGTTCGTCCATCCGTGTTCATTTTTAACACGGAGGGGTTAAGGCGACGACACGACGTCTAATTAAAGACGAAGGGAAATTTCGAACGAAACTCCGTCGTCTACGTCTTCTATATTGGCTCGTAAGGGCGGCTCTTATAAAGCGTAGCAATTATCCGGGTAAAATACTCGCCGAAATTTCCGTGATAAATTTTCGGCCGTAATAAGGGTGAGTCGCAAGTCATTTGGCCCAGGCTCGTGAACTGGGGTGGGTAGTAGATATCGGTGCTTCAATAGAAATTCTTTCCAACCCTCTCCACATCCTCGGCCGCCTCTACCACGTTTAAACATTCGTCGCTGATTCTATTTCGATGCTCGGACCAGTAGCTTCTTCTTCGAAAAGCTAATAATTATCTGAATGTATTTTAAGCAGGCAAAAAATTGAAATAGAAATTCTGTGGACGTTCCTAAATGAAAAAGTTATCACAGACTGTAATTGAAATTAAACCATCGTAAATATCTATGAGCATACACGATTCGATGATTTGGTGAAACAATTTTGCAGAAATTGTTGAAACAGTTCAGTAATAAAAATGTTATAATTCATCCCTGACGTTGCAAATTCTGTTTTACTTATAGTCTATACTTCCAGTAGAGCAGATTTTGAATACTTGTCAGGCGGAAATATACGATGCAATTACACGTATAGATGTATTGTTCGGTTTCTAAAGTATGCTAGACGTGGTCGAACGGTCGAAGTAAATTTAGGATTTATAGCTCAATTTTAACTTCATAATAGCACCGCGTGGCCTTTCACGTAGCTGATCTGAATAGCGGACACTTACTGTTTACCAAACGCTGCTTGCTTATTAAAAAATTATACAACAATATATTCCACAAAAAATAAATTCTTAGAATAAGAAATAATAAGGAAATTAATAACGTTATAATGTATTATGTGATGTAAAAAGGGGTAATAAAGCAGGGTTAAGGGGAAGAAACGTGAAGATGACATAAAGCATGATCGTAATTAAGCTCTTGCCCTTGAGCATAAGCTTCTCAGAGGTTTCCGAGGCAGTGAAATTCCGGCATACCCGTCAACGTTTAATGAGGGGATTGCGGATGAAGTTTCAGGTTAGAAAGGGGCAATTAGGCGAACCGTATTTGCGCCAGCTTTAAGGAAATCAATACACAATGACAGTTCACGACGTTTAGAATTTCTAAGAAGTAACATTTTCACAAGTATTTGTTTTTCTTAACATCCAACCAGAATGCCCCTAATTACGGTTACTTTTCATCTTTTTCACTTCAATTAAAATTTGTCCATTCATTTCTTTTCGCCCCATTCCTTATGTTTATCAGTTTATTTTTAGTTCGAGTTAAATCAAATAATTTTTATCTTTATTATTTATTTCCTCTTTTTCAGTTTATTTTTTATTATTGGCTTTATTTTTAAGTTCGTATTTGTATCATCTATTGTTAGTATCGTAAGTTCGTCACATTTCTTTTTGCTGTCCTTTGGATATTCTAAAGAATTCTCGTTAATAAAGTAATAATAATAACAATAACACTAATGATAAATTCAATCTCATAAAATTCTCCCCAGAAGGAATTCACTTTATTTGAAAAAAATCAAACGAATCTGATTACGTAGTTTTCTGAAAACCAGAGACGGAATCATCCTCGACCCAGTGAATTCATCAGCGACGGGGTCGACTATCTCAATCCCGTAGCGGAGGGCAAGAAAGATCACCGGGACAAAATTAAACGACCTCATCATCATTAGAACGCGGCTACCTAATTACCGGGAACATCTTAGACGCGGATGACATCGTCGACGAACGCAGACAATCGAGTCGAGAAGACACGAGACACTTTCTCCATCCCCGGTCGAGTCTTCTTCCACCCCTTCAAAAACCCCTGTCCCGCGTCCGTGCGACGGGCACCAAGGAAGGCAGGGAGGAAGGAAGGAAGGAAGGAAGGAAGGAAGGAAGGAAGGAAGGAAGGAAGGAAGGAAGAGACAACGCGCCGCTGTACCTATGCCGAGGGAAAGCTTATTAATGGGAACGGGGACGGGGACAGGCCTAGGAACCGGAGGAAGAAAGGGTCTTGAGAGCTGGCTCGAGCCGGCTTCCTCGTCGGTTTCAGGCGGAGGGTTGGAAAAAAGTAACAGACTCCCCCGCAAACAACCCCCACGATGCTGCGTGTTGGGCGTGGCCGTGGGAACGTGGTGATGGTAACACTCGGCGAATGAGAACCCGTGGAGCAGCCGCATCGTCAACTACCCCGAGTCGAACGAAAAAATATTGACCGCCGTGAGGGGGTGTTCTGCGGTCCATTTGGGGGTTGCAGAGGTGAAACACAACGTCGGACTGATTGCCGAGTGGAGTGGCGAGCAGCCGTTTGAGGGGATTGGGGGGGGCGGTTTACGGGGAGGGGAGGGTCGGCCGATTCGCGCGGGGGTGAATACCCCCCTCGTCACGTACGGGATCATTAGCCGGGATATCCTTAGTTCCGCTGGCCAATCCTCTCTGATAGCGGTGATCCTCGTGCCTGACATCATTATCCTGGGACGCTGCGCGGCGCCAGCGCGGAATCGGCCATCCTGCGAGCCTCTCGTCATTGCTCCAGTTCGGTTTCCCGTGTTTTTGGCCCCTCTTCTGTCCGCGTGTCGCCTTTGCGGTATCGGGCACGCAGCACGATTCCTCCCCGCGGTACCATTCGCGTAGCTCCCCGCATACGAATCGTTTGTGTCAAAGTGGTGTTCGAACTTAGCGACAGGCTCGGAAATATGGATGAATCGTGGAGTGACTTCTCATGAGATTTGCTTCAGTTGTGCGAAGATATTTGACATAAACATTGAAATCGGTACAATCGCGATCCTGGAGAACGAGTTTTCCGAAGAACACTGTGGACGATTATGGAGCCGAACGACCCGTCGGGAAAATTAACCGTCGAGGATCTGTCCGATTGCAGAAGCGAGAGCAGTCACTCCGAGAGTCAGTTACGAGCGTTTCAAGACTACGAACGTATCAAAGAATTGAATTTGTCTGTGGAGAAGATCAAAGAAGACGCTACGATCGAGCCTAAGGATTTCCACCTGACTCTGGAGCCGAGACGAGCATCCGTTCGTTTTGACGAGTTTGAAAATAATAGGAACGTACCAATGACGTTGAATAAAGGAAAGGAGTTCGGTTACATCAGTGGTCTTAACGATATGGCCTATCCGATGGACAGATCCAGTGAGAACGACGAGGCTTTAGAGACTGGTAATTTGTGCAGGACCAAGAATCCGACGGCTAAGGATTTGTTGTTCAACCTCCGCGAGGCCAGGCAGAAGAACGTTCACGCGGCACTGTCCCTAGACAGGTACAGCAAGGATCTGAATTTCGCCGTGTCCGAGAAAGATATCAAAGACTTTAGCTTGCTGAAGAACTACAACCTCGATCGGATGAAGGAGTTCAATCTGTCGTTGGATAGAATGCGAGACACTCATATCGGTAACTTCGCGTTGGAAAGATTGCGTGGTGGTTCCGGTTTGCTTGAAACTCCACCGATATTGGAGCACGGCGACTTGAAGGGTATGCAAATGCAGCCGAGGAATCAGGAATTGGAGGCGATCGCGTTGGAGAGGATGAGACGATCGCATCTACTGGGCACCGAACTGTCGGCACAGAATTTGTCGACCCAATTGTCGCATCCCCATTCGATCACGCAGATGCAGCACTCTCAGCAGCAACAGCAACAGCAGGCGAAATCTTTTACTATTGACGCGATTCTTGGGTTGAGGAATAATCCCAGGGAGAAACGGAGTCAACAGCAACAGTACAGAAAGCATCAGGGTATTTCTAATTTCACTGATTATTTATTTGCAGACAGCGAATTTTTATGCGAATTATAATATTCATGGTACCAGTTCAGAGAAGCTTTAGATAATCATTTCTTTAAGATGCATGAAATCTGTAGTTTTGTTAGTGTGTGTGTAAGTTTGCTTATATGCACAGTTTGAAAAATGAATAAAATCCGCAGTCTAATCATGACTGTCTCACTGTCACGACCACGACACACGATAGCGACGACAGCAACAATCATTGCAGTTACTCTCTTTCATTTAACTTCAATTCCTTTGAAAACAAATGCAAACAGTGCGATGATAGTTTAGCTAGAAAATCCTTGTACCGTCGCGCTCACGATTTACAAAATTCTTGTCGGCTTCTTGGTGAGAACTAACAAATATTCTAAATTCTGTTCAATACGACCTCGAGGCCTTTTGGATCCTCTACGTTAAACGTTATCCAAATTTTAAGGTACGAGGAATATAATATGGTTTTTCTTCTGACGTTATTGTAACCTCTGCAAACATCACGATAAATGTCAAGTATTCAAATCTTCAATTATTCATATTTTATTTCAATCTTTAACATTTCTTTGGAAAGCTTATTTATTATATCAATGCCAATGGTAGTATAGAAACTAACTAATCCAACTAGTCGTGATCCATGGAAAGCATTAGAAATAGAGAGAGAGAGAAGAGAATGTGTCACATGTTCTATGTATATGTGCAAAATCTGTTCAAAATCCTTTGAGTCATTCGTACATTGTTTTTGTGAGAAATCTTTAATCGCTTATAACTAAAAAATAGAACTTCGGACGCAATCTTTCTTGCATTGGATTTTTGCATTATTTTGGACGATGGAATCATCCCTTAAAATTTCTCTGTATAAAAATTGCCCGCAAGATCGAGTCGACAAGAATTTATTATATCCTTTATCTCTGTGTTAATCTCGTATAATATTTCTTGATTCACCGAATACAAGTAATCCTACATGCGAGCCGAATCCTCGATCGCAGGTCAGGAAAGTGGAACGAAGAACGGTGGCTCGAGTTCGTGTTCCGGCGGCGGCGGTAAGCTGAAGAGAGTGCGTACGATATTCACCGCGGAGCAATTGGAGCGGCTGGAGGGAGAGTTCGCGCGGCAACAGTACATGGTCGGACCTGAGAGGCTTTACCTGGCGCACGCACTCAGGCTGACCGAGGCCCAGGTGAAGGTCTGGTTCCAAAATCGGCGGATCAAGTGGCGGAAACACCACCACGAGCAGCAGAGCCAGAGGGTGCACGAGTTCCAGCGGTCGCTGAACTCCTCGCTGGAGCACGAAGACAGCAACGAGGCCGACAAATGGTGAAAAGAATTCTGGGTGCACCTTGACTGAAACGCGCCGCTTCGTTTCCTCGTTTCTTTCGTTCTCCGACTCTGAAACATGTTAGACTCGCGTCCAGGGAGAGCTTGATCGACCAGGAACGATTCTTACGTGCGTCTCCCGCTTTCTTAACTCTATATTTTTCATTTTTGTGAGTTTCGTTTGAACGACTCGTTTGGATGGAACATGAGGAATAGAAGAGTACAAGTTGTAGATTTATCAGGACTTTGAAGAAGAGACGAGACTGGTGATGCTTTGATAAGAAATTTTCTAACCAAGACTCAGTGCGTTACTCGATAAAGATTGCAGATCTTTGAATAGACGAATCACCGGTTAGTTTCTCGTTCTCTTATCGGTGCCGTTTAGACACTCGCGTGATGATGAGATACTAGATACACTCGTCGATCAAGTGCAAAAGTGAAAGGGAAGTTCAACGACTACTTTCTCGCTGACAAATGAACGGCGAAACACCGACGATGAAACAAATAGAGAATTACAAACTGAAATACGTGCCCCAATCGTATCTCGAAGCAAGAGATACGCCCGATACGTGTTGGAAACATCCGCAGAAGAGGAGTCAATCGTTTCCAGTTGCTAGGAGCAGCAAGTAAGTACTCGTCGCCCGTTGATGAAAGATGTCGAGAGTTTTCTCTCCTACGGGGATTGTTCTTAAGGAATCCGGAATCGGTGATGAGCTACTATTCCGCGTCGACTACTTACAAGCCGCAGAGAAATACTTATTCGAATCCGATGTACTCGAAGTACACGTCGCCTCACGATCCCGACGTGTCGCACATGCATTGCCATTCGAAGGCCCCCAGGGATAAATACTCGAACTCCCCGACGACCAGGAAAGCCCACTTCGACGACGAGCTTGGGAATATCGAGAAGATAAAGTACGAGGAATTGGAGAATTTCACGGAGGATAACGGGGAGGAGGATGTTGAAGAAGAAATTACAGGTTGAAAATATAATACATTCAGTTGGCGCATTTTTGGCAGCACTGATTGTTTCCTTTAAGAGGCTATTATAGTGTGACGATTGAAAAAGATAAACATTTTTGACGAATTTTCTCTCAATGTACTGCATGTAATAGTACAAACTATTTTTTCGCTAAAAGGTCTGCTGTAGGAAACAAATTCTTTTTAAAAGTACATATTTATTTATTTAACCCTTTGCTCTCCGAACCGTCCCGGACGTTACCAGCTATTCGGCGCCACTTTGTCGCAAAAACGTACACTTACGAATCCATGTATTTCTCAAAAAGTTACACTGGAATAAGTTGATTCCCCGGAATCGCTAATAAACTATCATGTCCCCTCAGAGGGGACAGCGGAGTGCAAAGGGTTAATTCTATATTTTTATGAATAGATCCTACGAATGAAGAATTTATCTTGGTGCAGCTAATTGGATCCTTCTAGGTGAAATGAATACGTTTTCATACCATAAAAAATTATTTTCTATTCTCCTAGAGTAGATTTTCCAGCGAGAAAGTTTCATCCAGTACTCTTCAGAGAAGATTCGTAAAAAATGCTTAATTATTTCAGTCACTCTGTAATAAATCCTTAATGTGTCTATAATCATAAAAGGTGTAATTTATACAGAGGAGGATCGTGAGGAGCTAGTCGAATTTTTGGATAAAGATTACGAAGAGCAGGAAGCGGATGACGAAATAGATGACGAGTCCGATCCTTCTCCTCAGACTCACAGACCTCCGAGAAGTAAGAATGAAGCGTTGTTAAAGCAGCAGCAGCAACAGCAACAGCAGCAGCAACAGCAACAGCAGCGATGGAGACCCATGGAGCAGAAACTTCGTTGCCAGCAACACATGATTATGCAAACTCATCCGTCATCCGCCAGGTAAACTAATTTTCCTCTGCTTTCCCTTTCACCCAATTTGAAAGTACATCTGACCCTCCTTTTATTAAAAAAAAAGTTGAAACCGAGTAAAGGAAAATAGTGTAAAAAATTCATTTACTATATAATTCCCACTGTTGCTTAAATCAACAGTTTTACCAACGCAGCCCTAGTCACTTGCCAAGAGATGTAATACGAATCGTCAGTAGGAATGATAATATTGCGTTGTTAACATGTTCGTGAACATAACGTAGACGAATAGAAACTAGAGCCTGACAAACCAAAACTTAGTACTTGTACACCTGACCAATTTTTTAACTGCGAATAAATCGTTTTAAAAAAAATTGTGCAACTATGAATAAATCATGTTAATGAAAACCGTGTAACTTTAAAGTCATGTATAAAAAATACCATGTGTAAGGAGGGTCAGATGTACAAATCCTTTCGTTTAATTCGTTCTCGGAGACTGAGTGATTCTTGGAACATCCAGGTACTACCATAGCGTGGCCGAGCATGAGATACCTGAGCCCTTATCAGAAGAAGAGTTCGTCCGAACGTCGGCGAGGAGTCCGACGAGACGGAAGAACACGGATTACCATAATTGGTCGTCGTCAAGGAACGATCACGATCAGTACAACGATTTTACGATCGAGACACCTCGACGAGCTCGCACGAAACCGGACGTCGATCGACTGCTGGATACCGAATTGAACAGGTCGAGAAAGTGCAACCGCTGTGGCAGTTTATCAGCTAAAAAGGTAGAATCACCGAAGGGATGCAGATTCGATGATCGCGCGAATATTCCAACCAAAGGGCCAATCGGTGAGATAATATTAATACAATTTGCTAAATGTCTATACAGGGTGAGTCAATTAAAATACACCTGACCCTCCTTTTACACGATGAAAGCGAATGGAGTAAAAGAAAATTGTGTAAAAAATAGTCATGCAAATACTGATAACAGATAGCAGAACTCTAAATAAATCGTGTTAGTGGAAAAGGTCTTGTATAAATTTTTTACTTCATGGAACTTATTGATAAAAATTACTTATTATAATTTGTCGAATTAAGATACATTTTTGTGAGACTAAAATCAGTGAAAATTATTTATTTCTTTGAAAATTCAATGAATATTATTTCCTACGACTCACCCTGTACAGCGATGAGGCAAATTCTATTCACGAGGATGGTTTAAAATTGCTTCAGGCGACGAGCCCGACGAGATGTACTGCGGCCGGTGTAACCTGAGATACAACACGAAAGACGCTCTCGACGTTCCAACGTCCATGTTCGCTGCAAAACCGCGTCGATCCCGAGAGGTGAAATCGCCGACGATCTACGAAGTCCCAGAACAAGCGCAGGACAAAATCTCGCGCGACTACGCGCGAACCTCGCCACCGAGGTACCAAAGGAAATCTGCGGAACCATACCCGGAAAGAGCCAAACGCTCGTTGCATACTTCTCAAGGCACTGCGCGAATACAATCTAGATACGTCGAGTAAAATAATTTCTTTAAGACTAAAATCACCCGGAAGAAGTGTACGAAAAGATCGGATTTGGAAAAAATTAGATCGTACAGTGTAAAATAATTTTTTTAGACATTTTTCGTGACATTTCATGATCGAAGATCTTTTCCTGTTCCCAGGCGACTCTGACGAGTATTTTCATATAAAGACTTCGTCCCTGTATCTCTATTTAAGGATGTGTGTGTCGATAAAAAAAACAATGGTAGAAACGAGTCCCTTTCGTTGTAAACTAATTTCTGAGAGACTTTGATCCGCAAGGGCGTAGCAAATATAAAATAATATAAAGGAATCTTCTCGATCGTTTCCCTCCTACTGGTTGTGTAATATATATTTTTGTAACTGTCCTCGGGTCTCGTAGATGTTAAACACGTGTTGTCTGAGGCTAGTAGAAACGCGAGTATGTACATAACGCGATTAGGTGAATCGATTAGAAGTTTGAACGTGTCGCTAATACCCCGCTTTCCGTCTTCGGTGTTCGACGATCTCCTGAATGATAAGTCACCGTTACCCTCGGCACGAAATCGATTGTATATACGCGATACACCGTAATGCTAACGATTCTGTGTAATAAACCTTCGAATCTATACACTGTGCCCTATCTACTTTACCTGCTCTTCCTAATATAATATATTCCCTAAAACTGAAATTACTTTTTGAAAATTAATATTGAAACAAGTTTGAAGCGGCGTTTGGATTTTAAAGAAAACTTTATCAAAAGTTCTGAATACAAGATAATGATAAAATAAAAGTATTGAGATAAAAATTTAAAACCTGATAAAACCCCAAGTCATTTTCATCAATTAAAAAATGAATATCGGAACAGATGTGGGAAGGTGTTTGACTTTCAAAAAATTTTATTAGGAATTGTGAGTTCCAGATTCTAATAAAATAAAAGATTCAAAGTATTACAAAAAGGCAAATTATTTTTTTTAAATTAATATTGAAACAGATTTAACAAAGTTTGAACGAAAATTTTATTAAAGGTCGTGAGTTGAAGATTTTAATAAAATAAAAAGAGATGGGAAACCTGATTCAATCAAAGGCAACGAATATTTGCTAAGAATCAAATTGAATAAGTAAAACCGCGGTAAGCTGTGCTCGAATTCGGTTTTTCCGTGCCGCGCAATTGGTACTAATTAATTTACGGCCACGTCTTACGCTTTCCCAGAACTTTATTCGAGCCGGGGCGCAGCTTTTTGCCAGGCCACAAAGAGGCGGGCCGCTTCCGCCGACGCTTTTGTTTAAATATTAATAACGCCGGGAAACTCTGTCGCTCTGCTCTGGCCGCGGCGGAGGGCCGCGCTTTGTTCAATTAAACTTAATATCTTTATTATATCAGGCCGTCGAAAGCGGATATTATTTATTGCGGTAGAACTCGGGGAGTCGGGCGAGGTAATTCCTCCCTTAAAAAGAACTTCGCCTCTGCCGCGTACAAAAGTGTTGCCAGAAATTACTGAGGAATTATCAAACAGACGAGTTCAGAAGTTCACTAATTTAATTTCCGATGATTATTCAATTGTTCTCGTCAGACTACTTTTTACCTGCGATTCGAGTGTCAGCTGATGAAACGGGGAGAAAATAGTAGGTAATCGGTCGCGCGTCCATCGAACAGCGTAATTCTATCACGGAAAAATCTGACGCGTATGACGTCGGTAACTAATATTCGCTCGTTACGCGCGCCCCTTTTGTCGCGGTGATAAATTAGCCGTCGACCCATGTCAAAGGTGCACAAAGAAAGCAAACCTTTGATGGAGAATCATGCGGACTTCGCTATCGCATGGAACCATCGGGGGATATCGATCGGAAACAAGTGGGTGCTACACTGTCTAATTTGTTTGTTAAATCTGCCTTGTTCGCCTCCATTAGACAGTAAGCGTATTAATAGAGTCGGGATACATTTTAGTAAAATTTACATGCTTAACGGGAAGCCTAGTTACGATTATTTTTAGAAAAGTTGTTTCGATTGAATCTTGTAGGAGAACAGGAGTAAAGTAATGAATTTCGTCTTTGAAATAAAACGTTACACCAACGAGATATCATTAATCGACGAGTTAACTTGCCAGTTAACAACTTGGACGGTATCCGAGATCTCCAGCGCCAAGCGAGCTTATTTCCTGGGAAGAAATCACGACGCGGCGGAAATTTGCCGCGAGAAACGGCGGCGAAACACGGAGGGAGAGGAAAAGAGCCAGGCGAGAGGTGATAAGCCTCGATATCACGAGCTACAGCCCCTGCGCGCGAGATGTAAGCTCCGCCCTATCCCTGGGGTTACAGCGCGGCACTTCCAAGAACCCCCTGGAACGCTCCCACCCTCAGCATAGGAGGATAACCCAACCCCCGGTGTTCCATCGTCGTTGGCATCCGCGGCATTCCAATTAGCTCGCGAATCAAAAGAGCCCCACTGCCTTTGTGGGGTCTCACCCCCCGAGCCACCCCTGCTAACTGTCTCCTTCGCTCTCCCGGGTCCTCTCTTTCCACCGACAACGCTCCCTTTTACTCCTTCGCGTTGCCGTCCCTTTCTTCATTCCGCTTTTCGACTGGTTCCCGGTTCCGCCGTCTGTCTTCCTTTACCCCACGGTGTATATAAATACGGGGGTTGATCTCCTTCCTTTGCCGTTTTTATTTTACGAGTTCTTTTTGTCCTTCCATCGAAATTTATTTTTTTCAGCTCGTTTCATTTTCCGAAAGTAAATAATGAAATATTTAATAACAATCGATGCGTTCAATTGCCTGTCTCAAACTCCAAAAGTTCGGAAGAATAGATTTGTTTTAGCTCGTTTCCTTCTCGTAAGGTAAATGATGGAATGTTTAATTATAATCGATGGATTCAATTGCTTGTCCCGAGCTCCAAAAGTTCGAAAGAATAAATAAATGTGTCTTTTATGACGTTTCACGTAATTGCGATATTAAATGAATATCGGAATCGGTGCTTAAATGAAACTGAATTGAACTTGATAAGATTAATAAATTAAAAATATTCGAACAGGATTGGTCAGTAATCGTGAACTGATATGAGAAAGGGGTTTAATAACGCGCGCCCGGGACCGGATTTTGACATAATTTCGCGTTACGTCGATCTCATCACCGGTCCGGTTTCCAATTCGCACGGTCAAGTACGCTTCTGGCAATTAGCGAAAAAATGTCATGTAATAATTTCGATGAAACAAAGCAGAATCCTGGCCGCTCGACCGCCAGGAATCCTTAACGGGCGGGGATTTTAATCTCGAATCATCTCGTCCTGGTGGTCCCTAAAAAAGCAGTGGTCAGAGGGCGGAAGGAGATAAGGAAAAAAGAACAAAAAATATCGTACGGATTTATGGAAATCGGACGGTGCGCCTGTGTCCGTTGTGTACCTGCGCGGCACACGGACCGGGAACACCGCGGCGATTTTAATATCCGCGAATGATAAACAAAGTGGTATCTAACGAAGTGGATAGAGGCGCGCCGCGCCGTAATAAAATTTGTGTTGCCGCTTCGTCGCGGCCGGAAACGTCACGAGCGGTTTCCTCCGATTTCAATTAGCCCTGGCGACCCTGGCTTGTCTCCTATGTGTCTGTGTGTATGAGCCTACGGGTGGATGTAGATCGTAGATGTTTCAGAAGGGGTACGAGTTAGCTCGGAGAAACTATTTTTCGATCCTCGTTTATTCTTTGATTTGTCAAACACAACGGAGACTCGTGTCAGAAAATGTTTCACTTTGGATGTAAAACGATTGACATATCAATATATTTATTCTAATATGTACATATATGATAAAAATGAGATTTTATAGAAAAGTAAAAGAAGAACGTATCATTTCTGTCTGGTTTTATACTATTTTAATAGATATCATATTCATCATATCGTATAATAGATATAATAATACAACTAAAATAGATATCAAGTAAATAACGAAATATAAAAATATATTAATATAAAACATATAAAGAGGGAATTGTAAATATAGGTTTAGTTAGAGACGCAAGTGAATTGATTGTGAGAGAGCAACGGAAAATAAGTGATAGGCGGCGTGAGGGAGACAAGTATGAGATAGACAGCGGATTTTATACATTTATAAGGAAACGGAATATGTAAAAATTATGAATGCTGCGTGTAATGTATAAACCTGTCGTTTTAATAGTAATACAAAATGAACAAAGTTAGAAATATTCAACTGATTCCTCTACTCCTTTTAAATTACAGTTCAATAAAATATATATGAAACACATAAACTAAGTCTTCTAACATCCTAAAGAAAATTAAGTTATTCAGCCCAATATTAAAATGTTATTTAGTCTTGAAATCGGATATTAATAAGAGTCACTGTATATCGTCCCATAGAATATCACTCCAGATATAGCCCCCCAATATCCCGTTTATTAAGAATTTTTCAAAGAGCAAAGGGAATAATTGCAGCGATGCGTAGGAGGCTGCGATCGCGGAATACGTCGGCACGATCAAAGAACATTCCTCCGCGTGAAACGCGCTGGCGAACCGCGTTAGATTCATATCGAACCATGACTGAATCTATAACCGGCATAAGCGAACAGCCCACATGTATCCCTTTATTGCACGCCTCATATGTTCTTAAGTCATAATTCAAAGATATCAATTAAAACGTTTGATTGCCGCGAACGTGCAAACACTAATTGAATTCGTAGAACACCGAAAAGTACAATAATGAAACACAAGAGGATGCATCGTGCAACCCGGGGAGCGTAAGAATATTGCGGCGTGTTCAATGGCTGGGAAAGAAGCGGCCGTGGTCCAATTAACGTTGTAGATGCGATAACAAGTGGTACCGGTTTAATTTATCGTACGACGAAGCGACAAATTGCAATATTCTTCCGAGATTCGTTGTCCCGCGTCACTGAACAGCATGACCGATGCTCCCGTTATTAAGGGGCGAGAAGCATACAAATATTTTCGCTACGATTAGTCGTCGCCGTTGCTTCAACACTCTGCACCTGCATCTCTGAAACCATCATACATCATAACTTCGATCACGGGTGTTGGTCACGAGGAGCTTCAATAACGATGCAATCTCATTCAGACTCTCGAATAGTGGTAGCTATGAACGAACATCTCATCGAATAATGCAGATATTAATAGCACAAAGCGATGTTTGGAATTACGACGAGGAACATAATTGACTTAATAAATTCTTTAAATATTTGTAATTAATTATTTTATATATTTATACATTTTTCCTAGTGTTCAACAGTAAAAACAATTTATCGTTCAATTTTGGTTTGCAATAACCAAAGGAGCATGAATCTAGATATTACTGTCGGTTTATAGCTGTCGCTAATCGTGACCACGAATATACATGTCGTAAAAAGCATAACCGCTTTTGTCGAGGGATGCACGCAGTAGGGTTGCGTACAGCTCGCATTCATAACATCAGGCGGGGTAATAAAAGTCACCACTCTCTCCCTTCCACCCCTGTTGTTTGCCTGGAGAACTGGAGGGATCGCGGAGGCACGTAGGTGAATCAAAAAGCGACGAGGGAGCAACGACGCGCACCGACGTTATTGTGTAACGTCCTCCGCATACGCATTTTTCTCGCGAACTCGTGTATCCTCTCCACATTAAATACACGTACTTAAAAAATTTTACATAATAATCAGATTGCTAGAAATGGGTTCTGAATATCTAATTGAATTAAAACGTCTTTGAAATATTGTTTAGTTAT